TTAGACATCAGGCAGCACTTCCTGAAACGAGAGGCCTGCTGAGCCCAGGGCGGACTGAGGGCCACCACACCCGCCAGCCAGAGACTTCCAGAGCTGCGGAGGGGCCGGGCCAGCACAGCCAGGGAGGCAGCGGGGCGCCGGGTCAGGGCCCGGGGTAAGTGGTCAGGGCGGGCAGGACACGCAGCAGAGGCATCCGGCACCACGGGGAGGACCTGCGTGGCCGTGGCCGTGGCTGTGGCCGGGCCTCCGGGGCTGGGGAAGGTCTGCCAGAGGGAGGTTGACAGGACAGAATCCAGGAGGGCTCCCTTCCTCCAGGCAGCCCTCCCTGACTGCTCCCATCTCCCCCCAGCATATCCGCTCCCCCCTACACAGTGGGTGCCTGCCCACCGGAGAGGCTCTGGCCCACCGGGGGTCTGGCCCCGGGGCAGGGAGCAGCCAGCCCTGACTGGAGGGACTTACCGGCCCCAGAGCCGCGGCTGCAGCCGCATCCTGGAGACTCTGCAGGAGAGTGACCACCTCCACGTTCCCAGCGTCCTCCGCCTGCGGGAGGGAGCCGAGGGAGGGCTGCCGGAGGGCGCTGACCACCGCCTGGCTCCCCCCGACCTTCCCGCCCAGACACCAGGGCCCCACGTCACTGCGTCCCCACAGCTCCGGCACTGGGCGGGCCCCTCCCCTCACCCCGGGCTCCTGTGGGCATTGGCGGGGCGGGGGGGAGAGGGAGTGCAGAGCTTCAGGGAGGCCTTCCTGGAGGAGGCGGCCCGGAGCCCGGGCACTCACCACGCGCAGGGCGCTGCGCCCATCGTAGCCCGGCTGCCTCAGGTCCGCCCCTGCCTGCCACCACGCCCGCAGGCCTTCACCGTCCGCCCTGGAGGCCAGCCTGGAGGGAGCGGGCATCAGGGCTGCTGGGCAACGGCCGGCCCCCGCCCCCGCTCCGGCTGCCGGTGCTGGCCGCGTCCTCGGCGCAGAGCCAACACCGAACAGTGGCCCCGCAGCCGGGCCAAGCCGGGGCGGGCGTTGGCACCGGGTCTGGTGCACCCGGTGCAGGTGCCTGTGACTCAGGTCAGGGGTGTACACGCATGTGCGCGCACGCGCACACACACACACACACACGTGTGCACGCGGGAGCATGTACACACGGGCAAGCAGGCCGGGGCACACGTACACGCCCCGCACTGAGAGCCGTGCCAGTTTCACATTTCACAACACTGTCCCTGGGCGGGGCCCGCGCCCGGAGCCTCGGAGGGAGGCAGATGTGGGCCTGGCCGGGTGGGGCGGGTGCCTGAAGGAGGAGGTGCGGGTGGCGGCCCCGAGCCCCTGCCCTCTCGCAGGAGCCCACCCCCAGCTCCGGGACCTGGGGTGCGGGGCTGGGGGTAGCCCCCCAGAGCGGCCCTAGTGACCCCTCCCAGTCCGGAGCCCGCAGCAGTCCCCACGGCGGTGCTGGGTGACCTCTGGGCGCGCCCACCAGCCCTCTGGAACCTGGCTGACCCGGCCCCTCACTGCCTCGGTTTCCCCATCTGTCAATGAGGCCGAAGGGCCCACCTGTGGGTGCAGCCCTGAACCAGAAGTCCCTCCAAGTCCAGACCAGAGGCTGCAGCGCCCGAGGCCCTCCCTCCAGGCTCAGCCCGCCCGCCTGCCGCCCAGCACACCCTCCCTGACGGGGGCCTGACTGCCGGACGGAGGGAGGCTGGGCTCTGGGGTGGGTGAGGGGGCAGAGTTCAGGGTCTTCTCCCTGCGAGCGGCAGCCACCCCCCGCCAGGCGTCCCGAGACCCCACTGTCGTCTCTGCCCCTGGGCCCGGGTCTGAGCTGCGGGGAGCACACCCCGGCCACGGCCAGCGCCCCAACCCCAGCCACACGGACAGCCTCGCCCCGCTGTCTTCCCCGCTGCCCAGCGCCGTCCTCCGCCTCCGCCCCGAGGCCAGCTGTGGGCAGCCCGGGCTGGAGGTGGGAGCCGCTGGTGGGGCAGGTGCAGCGGCGGGCCCGCACACCCCCAGGAGGGACCCAGGGACGCCGGAGCCCTGGCCTGCCGTCTGCAGCCCCCAGCTCCCTCCGGGGGCCTCCGGGCCCACCCTCCCTGTGCCCGGCCCCCAGGCGGGCGGTGGTGGCCGCTCAGGGCGGCTGGGAGATCGGTCATGCTGGCAACGGGCACGGTGCCCCCCGCCCCCAGGCCCGGCCGCCCTGGCCCAGCTCCAGGCCTGGCCTCACCTGCACAGCTCCGTCCCCACATCCTCCAGCTCCCGGGCTGACAGGCAGGCCCCGGCCGCCCTCAGGAGCCGGATGGTGCCCTGGTGCCTGCAGGGAAGGGGGGCTGAGACAGCGACAAGAGCCCCTGCCCCAGACCAGACCCACGTCCCCCGCTGGTCCGGGCACCAGGCTCCCCAGAGCGGGCCTCCCCGAGGTCTCCCCACCCCCCATGCTGGGGCCGCAGCACCCTGGGAACCCCTGGGACAGCCCCCCTGGGAGCCAGTCCCCACGCCCAGCTGCCCACCCCACGCACACCCACCCGGCCGCACTGGGCCTGGGGAAACTGGGTCAGGGGTAGCGAGGGGACAAACATGGGCAGTGGTGGCCGGAGCAGGTGGTGTGGACGGCTGTCAGAGGCCCCTCTGGCCCGCCAGGCTGAGCCGGCCCAGAAGCCAGGGCAGAGCAGCCGCTGCAGCGGGGGGCAGAGACCCCTCTCCGCAGGGTCCGGGCAGACCACAAACCCCATGGCCGCCCCGTCAGGAGGCTGGGAGGAGGGTGTGACCCAGCCCGGCCCCCCACGCTGCCCGCGGAGCCGCCCGGGGCATGGCAGGGTGGGCAGGGGAGGCGGGGAGACCGGTTTGGGGGGTGTTGTGACAGCCAGGAGAGTGGGGAAAAGGGCGGGACCCGGGTGGGGCGATCTCATTGTGCTACCCATCCCAGCCCTGCGAGCTCCAGCCAGATCCAGGGCGGGCGCTGGGGTACACCCCGCCGCCCCCCGCCCCCCGCCCCACTCCACCAGGCCTGTTCTGAGGCCCGTGCTCACAGGAGCCTGGGAGGCGGGTGGAGCCCTTCACCAGGGGGGCACCCCACAGGGCCCACAGTGAGGGGGGCCCAGGCCCCACACCCTCCCCGCTTGCCCTGAGACTCCGCAGCCCCCTCCCCGAAATAACCCAGGACCCACGGGCACGCCCATGCCCTCCCCCAGAGTGCTGAGGGGCGGGCTGGGCCAGGCCGGGGCGGGGGCGGGGGCTGGGGCTCTGCCTCTTGGGGGGAGACTCCCCAGGGACGAAGAGCAAAGCTGAGGTTACTGCCCAACACGCGTGTTCACGCGTGCTCACACAGATGCGCACACAGCTGTGTCTGGGCAGCTCGGCACGCCGGCCGCCCCGCCCGCCGCTGGGCAGCACAGTGCCTGGGCCCACACCTGCCTGCGGGTCACGCCACCCCACCCTCCGGGTTTGGATTGCCCATCTGGCAGGTGAGGGCGCCCCGAAGAGAGGCCAGGCCTGGGGGGCGAGGAGGCCCCCGAGGAGGCACGCGGACCCTCAGGCCCACGGCCCATCGGACCCCGGGGAGGGAGGCAGAGCCGGCAGCTCCTGGAGGCGTCATGGGGCCCCACCGGTGCAGCCCACACGGCCGGCACGACACCCCTCTGCCTCTCTGCCCGGTGCCCTCTGCCCCACCTCGAGGAGACCCCACTGGCCCCCCAGACACCCTCAGCTGGGCCCTGCCTCTGAGAAACGGGTGAGGCCAGCGCGGAGGAACTGAGCCTGTCCGAGGGCAGCGTGCCCTCCAGCCCGGCGCCGGGCACCACACAGCCGGCTTCACACCTGCCCCGCCCCGGGAGGTGCTGGGCCCACGGCCGTACCTTCCCCGCACGGCCAGCAGCAGGGGACTGCGGCCCTCGGGGTCCTGGGCGTCCACGGCCGCCCCGCTCCGCAGCAGCAGGCTCACCGCGGCGGCCTGGCCCCTCCGAGCGGCCACGTGCAACGGCGTCCGGCCCTGGAAGTCTTCCCGGCTCAGGTCGCCGCCCTGGGGGACGCATGGACGTGTTCCCAGGGGGAAGGACCGCAAGGAGGGACAGGCAGGGGCGGGCGCCCCGGGGTGGGGCCCGCACAGCCACTGCTCCCTTCACTGAGCTGGCCGCCCAGTCTGGCCACCCGCACAGGGGGCCGTGGAGCCCCGGAAAGACCATCCTGCCCGCCCCCCCCCCCCCCCCCGGGGCCCGGCTCACCTGCTCCGCCAGGGCCTGCAGGGCCTCCAGGTCCCCGGCGTGGGCTGCCGCGCAGGCCAGGCTGGGGGCCAGGGCGTCTCGCACGGCGTCCATCTCCTGGGGGGGTGGGGGGTGCAGCATCTGGGACACGCCTTCCCCTGGGAGAACCCAGGGGATGCACCCCACCAGGGCCCACTCCCTCACCCCACTGAGACTCCGGAGCCCTCTCCTGAAATAACCCAGGACCCGCGGGCACGTCCCACGCCCTCCCCCCAAGAATGCTGAGGGGCGGGGCCGGGCCCGGCCCGGTGGGGGTCCCCCAGAGAGAGCTCAGGGCGTGAGGCTGCCACCCACTCTTCCTCACCCGCTGTGCCAGGTCCCTGCCCCCGAGGCCGCTTCCCGCACCCCCTTCCGGGACATACGACCACGGCGAGGTGCTGGGCTCTCGGGAAGGAGCCAGGCCCCCAGGGGAGCCCGCCCCACACGCCTCCGAAGCCCCCCGCACCAGAATGCGGGGGGCATGGAGGGGCTCACCCGGTGCGGAGGCCGGGAGGCAGCCCGCACCTGGCCCGGCCCGGCCACAACCTCCCTGACCACAGGCCACTCGCACCGGCTCTCCCTGACCCCCACCCGGGGAGCCGCAGGGACACTCCGAAGCGCCCAGGACAGAGGGGAAACTGAGACACGGGCGTGACCCTGCTGCCTGCCGGGCTCCCACGCCAGGTCTCCCGTCACCTCGAGGCTGGGTGTGTGGATGGGCACCGGGAGGCCCCGGCCTCCCCTGCAGACCTGGCCCCAAGCCCCACTCCCTGCCCCTCCCTGGTCCTGGCAGCCTGGCCCAGAGGGAGGAGGGAGGGCGAGGCTCAGCCCGTGGAGCCTGAGAGACCCCTGAGCTGGCCGCCCCGCCCTCCCAGCCCCCAGGACCCACACCTCACGGGCAGCCGGCACCAGGGCCACAGCCGGGGCCGTCCCACCAGCGACACCGCAGAGGTTCCCGGCTGCCCGGCCCCTCCCGCACTGCCCCACGGACCCCAGACCCTCCGCTGTGGACTGGCCCGTAAACGGGGACCGGGGTCCAGAACCAGGGGCACCTCCCGCGGACCCGCCCCCCACGGGGCGTACCTGGCTGAGGCTGAGGAGCTGGGCCACCCCGAGTCCCAGGCTGCTCTCAGCGGGGGGCCGGCAGGCGTCCGCCTCGGGCAGCGTCATCTCTCCCCGGAGGTCCCTGGCCAGCAGCTGGGGGCACAGGAGGGCAGCGCCCATGGACGTGCGGTGAGGGGCGCCCGGGCCTGCAGCTCCCTGTCCGGGCTCCAGCCTTCAGCCTGAGCACCAGGCCTGCAGGCCAGCCCGCCCTCCCCCTCCCGGCTCAGAGCGCCCGGTGGCGGTGCCTGGGGCTGCCAGGGGGTGAGGGCTCTCTGGGGCAGTTTGGGGAGCCTCTGTGTGTGCCTGACCTCAGGCTCCCCGAGAAGATGGAAGGACAAGTCGGGGGTCGGCAAAGGGTGCGGGAGCCGGGGCCCCAGAGCCGGCCCTTTGCACCATGGGAGGCCCGAATCCCTGCCCCCTTTCCAAAGGCAGACACAGCCCTGGACCGCCCCCCACCCGTGTCACACCCCGGCCGCCCTCAGGACCCGCGACGTGCCCACAGCCTGAGGGCCGCACCTCCTTCCTGTCGTCCAGGCTCAGGCCGGGCTGGCCCAGCACGTAGGACAGCTTGGCCAGGGCCGCCTCCGATGTCATGTCGAAGCCCGAGATGATGCCAGCGCCCGCCGCGGCCTGCGGGGAGGGCGGCGTAGACTGGGGTGGGTGCGCCCTGGGCCCTCGCCCACCCCCTGCGGCCGCCCCGGGGCAGCTGCGGCCTGGGAGTGGGTGGTGGAGGGGGTTGGCGGTGCCCGCACCATGCTGGCGGCGTAGTCCGAGGTCACGGCGCCCTGCAGGCAGTGGGTGCAGTTGAGGATGAGCAGGCCCCGCGCGGCCGCCACCCGCAGCTCCTGCAGCAGGTCGGGCTTGGTGGGCCCGTTCCCGGAGCCGAAGGTCTCCATGACGACCCCCTTCAGGGGCGGCTGCAGGAAGGCGCGGACCTGCGGACAGGAGGGCATGAGGCCGCCTCCCACCGGCACCGGGCTCGCCACTCTGCCGCCCGCACCGGGGGCCCAGCAGCGGGGCCGGGGAAGGCCCGCAGCTCAGCACACGCGCAGGTCCCGCTACAAACGCACTCCCCAAACCGTGAGGCCAGGCCCCAGTGCCCGAGGAGGAGGAGACCGGACCGGACAGGGTGGCGGGCGGGCGGGCAGGGCCGTGGGGAGCCGTGGGCCGGGACCAGGGCGCGGAGGGGGTGCGGGGACCTACCAGGGTGGCGGGGATCCCGGGGTACAGGCGCAGCAGGCCCACGTCACGCTCCATGCGGCTGTGCACCGCCAGCCGGGCCCCCCCGCGGGCCTTCCTCACCAGCTCCCGGTTGACTGAGGACAGAGGGGCGGGTGGGAGGGTGGGCCCAGCTCCTCCGCCCTGGTGCTGCCGGCTCCCCCAGCGTTCCAGAGCCCGAGCCCCCCCCGGCACCGGACCCCCCGACGCCCAGCCCGGCTCACGAACACCCTGGGGTGTGCCAAGCCCCCGGCACAGTGCTGGGCGGGAGGACCCCAGGGCGGAGGCCGTGTAGGCCCGGGGCCTGAGGTGGGCCTGGCCCTTCGGGTGTGCCGGCCCGGGGTCCCTGTCTGAGCTGCAGCTGCGCAGGCGGTGGGGGGAAGGCAGTGGAGGCAGGAACAGCAGGTGCGGAGGCACGGAGGCGCAGCAGAGGGGGCCCAGCACAGGACCCCGAGCCGTTTTCTGCCGGGGACCCCGGGAGAAGTGGGGTGGCCTTCTCAGAACAGCCTCACTGCCCCCGCTGGCACCTGCCCTGCCTCAGCCGAGAAGATGAATGAATGAGTGAATGAATGAGTGAAGGAGTGAGCCTCCCGGCAGGGGAGACAGCCTGCATCGATTCACCCCAAAGCCTCGAGGCCTAATGGGAGCCAGGCGGGGTGACGGGGGTCCCGGCCCGTGGGGGGGCAGGTGCTCGGGGCCGGAGCCCTCAAGCCGCCCACAGAGACTCGGGTCCCAGTCTGAAGGGCACCGCTCCGCCCACGGGGTCCCAGCCGAGGGCTGGGCAGGAGCCTCAGGAGCCCATGCCCGGGGGCCTTCAGCCCCGCGGCCTGGTGGCGGAGGGGGGTGCTGGCCCCGGCCCCGGTGCTGTCAGAGCCGCCCCGGACACAGGCCCCTAGGGCCGCCCATCCAGGACAGGAGCCAGAGCGGGAGCCCTGCCGAGGCCGCCAGGACCTCCGCCTGCGCCCGCCGTCCCCGCCAGCGGCAGAGCGACGCCACGGGATAAGGACCGAGACATCCCGCCACGCCGCCCTCCGCGGGCGCTGAGGGGCGGGGCACTGGAGGGTGGGCAGCCGAGGGGCCAGGAGGGCAGAGGCCAGCCCTTGGCCGGCAAACTCCTCAGTCCACAGAGCCAAAGACCAACAGGACAACGGCGGCCATGTCCTTGGAGAGCCCCATCTTTTAAACGGAAACTTCTTCTCACGCCACCTCTTCCACAGACTCGCCCCGGCCGTGGTGTTTTGTGGAAGAGCCACGCTCAAGGGGCCAAGGAGCCGCGTGTGGCTCTCGATCCACAGTTTGCGGACCACGGGGCTAGAGACCTGGGGGCAGGGCTTCAATTCAGGGCCCTTGGCCCCAGCGGGGGAGCCGACAGGACAGCAGGGGGCGGGGGGGAGGCCTGACCCCACGGAGAGCGATGGCTGCGGAGGGACAGGTTCACGGACAAAGATGGCCACGTCCCCACAGACGGCCACCCCCTGACCCATGTCGGCAGGCGCTGCCCGCCACTAGGGGGGAGAGGCCTCCTGGGCCCAGAGGAACCACCTGCCTCACGCTGACAGCGGGGCCACAGTGGGGGTCAGGGGCTGGGGTCTGGCGCTGGCAGCCCCCCGGGACCGGGCAGGGCAGGCCCGCAGCACCCCGCACCCCTCCCCCCCTGCACCCTCCCGCCCGGCCTCCTGAGCCCGCGCCCGCGTCCCCCCCCCCCCCCCCCCCGCCCCGGAGGGGCCCAGCGTGGAGCAGCCTCTGCTGCCCACGCCCCAGCACCCAGGGCCCCGCCAGCCACACCCTGGCCTGGGCGGAGCTCCCTGTTTCTCAACAGCAGCTGCCAAACCGGACGGGCCTGGGCGGGCGAGGCCGGTTCTCACACCCGCACACGTCCAGCCGGTGGGAAGCCGGCGGGGCCGGGGCCGGGGGCCGGCGGGGGCCGGGGCCTCTTCCCTGAGGCCAGCCTCAGCCCGCACCCGGCGTCCTGTGCCCGCGGCCTGCCTGGGCGTGGCGGCCCCAGCCGGGGGCCCGGGACCCAGCGCCCTCCTCCGCGCCCGCCAGCAGGCGTCCCCCCCAGGCTCCGCTCCCAAGCTCCCGATGAGGGGTGACTCAGCCCCCGCGGGGAGGGGTCCCTGCTCCTTCCGGCACGGTGCTGGCGCTGACGGAGGCCTGGCTTCCCTGCCGTGCCGGCTGGGTCTCTGACACCACGGGCAAGAGGGGCCGAGTGCCACCACCCGGCACGGCAGGGAAGCCAGGCCTCCGTCAGCGCCAGCACCGTGCCGCCCTCTCCAGGAAGCCCCCCCGGATTGCTCCAGCTCTCCAGCCCCCGGAGCCCGGGAGCGCTGCACAGGCATGAGGTGTACTGACGTGTTCTGGGCTCCAGGCAAGCCAATGCCTCCCGTGTGGCCCTGCCCCGTCCTCCTCCCTGACCCCTGCAGAGGGACCTGTCACCATGCCTGAGTGCCTGACCCACAGTGTGTCCTGACCTGAGATCTAAGGCTCTGGGGGCGTTCAGGGAAAGAGCCAGCCCTGCAGGGCTGCACCTTGAGCCCTTAGGGCTCCTACTGCCGGCCCCTGGGAGCCGCCCCTGCAGACCCCGGGGGCAGAGGCCGTGGGGGCGGGGCCGGACGCTCGGGCGGGCCAACCCGAAGAGCCGGGTCCTGTGTGTCCCACAGACGTGGCCCCCCGGGAGCGAGGCCCCAGGGCCCCAAACGCCCTCAGGAAGGGGCCACAGGGGGGCGGGGTGGGGACAGGCGCTCAGAGCCCCTGAGCCCTCAGGAAGCACAGGCCCGCAGGTGGGGTGTCGCTTACACAGCCGGCGGAGGGGGCTCTGGGGGAGCCCGCGGGTCCCAGGGGCGTGGGGACGCCCGGCCTGTCCCAGGAGGGCTGTGGGGGGGAGGGGAGGCGCTGGCCAGGCCCGCCTCTGACGGGACAGCGGGGTCACCAGGGCCTGCACACCCAAAGCGAGGGGTGGGGTGTCCCCTGGGGGTCAGGACACGTGACCTGCTGGAGACAAGGGGTGTGGGCTGCCTGCCAGGCCCGGAACAGGGATAAGGGCCCGGACCCAGGCGCATGGCGGAGCCGCGGCCTCTGAGAGGGCCTCCTGGGCTGGGGCCTCCTGGCAGGGGACCGGGGAGGAGAAACACGAGGGCAAGTCCCCCAACCCCCAACCCTACCCCACAGCCCCCGCAGCCCCCTGCCCCCACCGCCCCGGGCAGAGCCCAGCTGAGCTGTCCCAGCTCAGGGGTGGTGGGTGCTGGTCCACGGGCGCCCTCCTTCACCCCTGGCACCCCTCCCCCCTCCCCTCGGTCCCCCCCCCCCCCCCCCGCCGCCTACTTGTGATGTCGGCGCCCAGCACGGCCAGGGGCGGCAGGTTGGGGGAGCAGAAGGCGGCGAACCTGCGGGCGTCCACCTTGGTCACCCGGGTGCCCCGGAACAGCTGGTTCTGGAAGAACAGGCAGACCTGCGGGGGCGGGGCAGAGGGGCAGCGGTGACACGGCCGACCCCCTCCGGGCCGGCCCTGCGGTGGGGGCGGGAGCCGCGGGAGGGATCCCTGGGCCCCGGACACCGGACGGTGTGCCTGTGGGAGCCCCACGGGGCGCAGAGGCAGCGGGGCCCTGGGACACAGCGTGCCCGGGTGACGGCCCCCCGGGCAGGTGCGGGCTCAGCCGCAGGGAGGGGCCTCAGCGCCTGGCCCGGGGCGGGGGGTACCTCGGGGATCACGTACTGGCCGGCCATGAGCAGCGCCCCCAGCAGGTTCTCGCGGCCGTCGCTCCACAGCGCGTGGATGGGCACCTGGGAGGCCACGGGCTGAGGCCGCGCCGGACGGAGGCCAGAGGGGCCGGCAGCTCCGCTGGGGAGCGGGTCCGCGGGCCCGGCCCCCCTCGGCCGCCCGCTCCCGCCGCCCGGGGCCTCACCTGCGCGCCCGTCAGCACCACCGTCTTCCGCAGGTTCTCCAGCGCGAAGGCCAGCGCGGCGGCCGCGAAGGCCATGGTGTCGGTGCCGTGGATGACCACAAAGCCGTGGAAGCGCTCGTAGTGCGCCTGCGGGGAGGCGGCTCACCGGGCGCCGCCGGCCTCCCCCTCCCCCTCCCCCTCCCCCAGGGCCTCCCCCTCCCCCTCCCCCTCCCCCCAGGGCCTCCCCCTCCCCCCTCCCCCGGAGCGCCCTCCCCCTCCCCCTCCCCCCAGGGGTCTCCCCCTTTCCCTCCCCCCTCCCCCTCCCCGGAGCGGCCTCCCCCTCCCCCCTCCCCCCCAGGGGCCTCCCCCTTCCCCTCCCCCTCCCCCTCCCCGGAGCGGCCTCCCCCTCCCCCGGAGCGGGCCCCTCCATCGCCCGGCGGGCAGGCTCAGAGCCGGCCAGGTGGGCGCCGGGACCCCGATGTGGAAGCCCGCCCGCCCTCCCCGCCCCGGACACCGGTCCCTGCCTCCCGGGTGAGCCCGCCGCCGGGGGGGGGGGGGGGCGTCCCCCGAAGGCCAGCAGGGCCCCGGGGCGCCCCAGGATGCCCGCGGGGAGGCCCGCCGGAGCCCAGCCCAGGGCCCTGTGCGGAGGGCACACCCGGGGCACAGGAGGCGGGCAGCACGCCTGGGCCTGGGTGCCCGGCGGTGGCCAGCCGGGCACGGCGATGGGGCACAGCAGCCGGGGCGGCGGGGGCGGGCGGGGAGAGCCCTGCCGGCCAGCTCTGCAGGGGGAGGTGGCTGGGGGACAGCCTCGCCCCCGCCTCCGGGAGGGCCGCCCGGACTGAGCTCGGAGCGGTTGCGAGGGGCCCGGTAGGGGCCCAGGGGACGGATGGAAAGACCGCAGCGGGCGGCAGGGCAGACTGTCCACGGGCGGGCTGCGGCGCCCTCTGCTGGCCACACAGGGCTCGGCCGCCGGCAGGCGTCCTGGGCTGCCGGCCCTGCAGCCAGGACCCAGCTCCTGTGCTGAGCGGCCCTCGGGAGGGAGCCTGCCCTGGACAAGGCCGCAGACATGCCCACCGGTCACCGGGGCCTAACGGGACAGCAGGCCAGGCCCAGGCCACACCCCGTCCCAGCTGCTCACAGTGAGGGGGGAGGGGGCAGGAGACAGGCCGTGGCTGCCGGGAGGGGGAGCCGGGGTGAGGAACCCCTGGGGACCGGTGAGAAGTGGGCCTGGAGGGTGGGAGGGTGGAGAGTGGGAGGTTGGGAGGATGGAGGATGGAGGATGGGAGGATGGGAGGATGGGAGGATGGGGGGGCGGGGAGGATGGAGGGTGGGAGGATGGGAGGATGGAGGATGGGGAGAATGGGAGGATGGGGAGGGTGGGAGGATGGGAAGGTGGGAGAATGGAGGATAGGAGGATGGGAGGATGGGAGGATGGGAGGATGGGAGGATGGGGGGGCTGGGAGGATGGGAGGATGGAGGATGGGAGGATGGGAGGATGGGAGGGTGGGGAGGATGGGAGGATGGGGAGGATGGGGAGGATGGGAGGATGGGAGGGTGGGAGGATGGGAGGATGGGAAGGTGGGAGGATGGAGGATGGAAGGATGGGAGGGTGGGAGGATGGGAGGATGGAGGGTGGGAGGATGGGAGGGTGGGAGGATGGGAGGATGGAGGGTGGGAGGATGAGAGGGTGGGAGGATGGGAGGATGGGAGGATGGGGGGCTGGGAGGATGGAGAGGATGGGAGGATGGGAAGATGGGAGGATGGGGGGGCTGGGAGGATGGGGAGGATGGGGGGGCTGGGAGGATGGGGAGGATGGGAGGATGGAGATTGGGAGGTTGGGAGGATGGGGGGCCAGGGAGGATGGGAAGATGGGAGGATGGAGATTGGGAGGATGGGAGGATGGGGAGGATGGGAGGATGGGGAGAATGGGAGAATGGGAGGATTGGGAAGTTGGGAGGATGGAGGATGGGAGGATTGGGAGGATGGGAGATTGGGAGGATGGGAGGATGGAGGATGGGGAGGATGGGAGGATGAAAGGATTGGGAGGATGGGAGGTTGGGAGGATGGGAGGATGGGAGGTTGGGAGGATGGAGGATGGGCCTCAGGAAAGGCTGTTGTGAGCCCAGACCCCCTCGGGGACCCGCCTTGCGGGCGAGCGGCGGGTGGTGGGCAAGGGGTGGGCAGCAGGGAAGGGCCAGGTGTGAGCTTGTCAGTCTGCGGCAGGCCTCACACCCCACCCAGGTTCCTACTGGACACACCAAGCGCATGGACAAACCAGGACCGCCATCGTCATGGGAAGAGCTACCCTCCACTGCACAGGGGGGGCGGGGCGTGATGAGGTGGGCAAGGGCTCAGAGGCCCTGCAGCTGGGACGGGACCCAAGGACCTAGCACTTTTCTGAAGCCACAGACACACACACACCCAGAGCAAGTGGGTGGGCTGGCCCTGCCCAACAGCCCTGCCTGACTGCAGCCCCGCCCACAGCCCCAGCCCCGCCCACAGCCCCGCCCACAGCTCCACCCCTCCCACAACCCCAGCCCCGCCCACAGACCAAGCCCCACCCATCACCACCCACACCTCAGTCCTAGCCCCGCCCACAGTCCCAGTCCCGCCCACAACCCCAGCCCCACCCACAGCTCCAGCCCCTCCCACAACCCCAGCCCCACCCATACCTCAGCCCCGCCCACATCTCAGCCCCACCCACAGCCTGCGGCCCCGCCCATTCCCACAGCCCTGCTCAGCATGCACAGCCCCACCCCAGCCCCAGCCCCGCCCCCACCCCTGCTACCTCAATGGTCTGGGCAATCTGCACCCACTCGGTGATGGTCATGTCGCTGGAGTCGAAGAGGGGCTGGCACTCCAGCACCGTGTAGATGATCCTCTGGTCGGGGCTGGCGGGCCTGCGGACGCAGAGGGCAGTGCCCAGCTGACTGCCCCCTGGCCGCCCCGTTCCCCTCGGGCACCAGGGCCTCTGCACCGGGCGTGTCTGCGCACTTCCCAGGAGCAGGGCCGTGGTGCTGAGGGCGCCCAGGACGGCCAGGAGGAGCTGAGCAGACACGGCCCCCTCCCCCCGCAGCCCTGGGGACCAGCCAGAGCCGCCGCCGGGAGGTCAGTGACCCGGAGGGCGGCTCCACATGCGCCTGCCAGCCGGGCAGGCACCAGGCAGCCTGGCCGAGAGCCGGGAAGGGGGCCTTGGCCAGGGAGCAGGGCCCGCGGGCCACCCCGGCGGGTGGGGTCCGAGCTCTCCAGAGGGGACTTTGGTCCAGTCAGGCCGCGGCAGGCCGTGTGGGACGCAGCTCGGGCGGCCCTCCCCCAGGACAGCGCTGCCTGGCCGGCCGGGGCCCACACTCACGGCAGCACCAGGGTGTCCTCGGGGAGGCCGCGGGCCCGGGCGTGCTCCTGGTCGTGGAACATGGGCAGTGTCCTCAGCGCGGCGGCCAGGCCCCGCCCCGGGACCAGCACTGCGGGCGGGGAGGGGGGAGGGGGGAGGGGGTCAGGGCCGAGCCACCAGCCCCACAGCCACGGCCCCGTCTGTGCTGGGCGTCTGCGCCCTGGCCGGGGCTCAGGCCTGGGCGGGGAGTGGGCAGGGAGCGGGGTCGGCCCGGTGAGCGCGGGCCTCGGGGGAGTCGGAGGCCAGGTGGACAGGCCGGCAGCTGCCAGGGCCCGTCTCCCGTGAGGCCCCCGAGGCTCCGGGGCCGTGGCCCTTCGTGGCCTCTCTCGGACGCCCACTCCCCTGCCCCCACTCCGCAGAGCTCCCACAGACCCGCTCCCCGCCCCGCCCTCTGCCAGCCTGCCAGGGCTTCACCCGCTCAGGGCACCGCCTCCGGGAAGCCCTCCGTGATGCCCAGGCCCTGCAGCCTCTCCCACACGCCCTCCACGGCCTCTGCTCCCTGCTGGGCTGTGTGCTGCCCCCCAGGGTCCAGCCCAGCCTTCGCCTGCAGCGTCCCTGCCCCAGCAGAGAGGGCCCCGGATTCTAGGCAAACCCTAAAATAGGCGGGTGGCCGAAGCCGGTTTGGCTCAGTGGATAGAGCGTCAGTCTGCAGACTGAAGGGTCCCGGGTTCGATTCCGGTCAGGGGCATGTACCTTGGTTGCGGGCACATCTCCGATGGGGGGTGTGCAGGAGGCAGCTGGTGGATGTTCTCTCTCATCGATGTTTCTCTCTATCCCTCTCCCTTCCTCTCTGTAAAAACTCAATAAAATATATCTTAAAATAAATAAAATAGGAGGGCGAGGGCATCCAGCCCTGCCCAGCACCAGAGGTGAGCTAATGAGATGCCTGACCCCGTGGAGCGGGCTCATTTTGAAGTGGGTCATTTTGGGTGGCCCGAGGGGGACGTTATGAATATCTATCGGCCTTGGCAGGGAAAGGGCCCTGCCCTGCCCTCAGCATCAGGTCACAGAGTGCCCCCAGGAAGGAAAACAGCTCCTTAGCGAGGCCTCCGCCCCACGCCGCTCCCCACCAGCACGCGCCCTCGGGCACGGCCACGCCTCCCGGGAGCTGTGGGCGTCTCCCCTGTGCAGGCTGCACTGGGCACCCGGACTCAGCAGCAAGGGCATGAGGCCCCCACCCACCCGCATCGGAGGGACGTGGAAGGCCTTCGGACCACGGTCAGTGGTCGCCGGTGACAGGCTGGCTCCCAGCCTTCGAAGCTGCGGGGGCATCAGCCCCGGCTGCTGTGTAACCCAACAGCCCGCTGCTGCCTCTGGCTCGGAGGCTGGGCTGCGTCCCGGCTCCCTTGGTTGTCAGAACCGGTCCCGTGTGCAGACCACTGGCCCGGCGCCTCTGACCCCCGTCCTTGGCGTCTCGGCTCCCAGCGCCCAGGCCAGGCCCTGGCTCTGCCTGCAACGCCGGGTCAAGTCCTCCTCACGCTTCGAACCTCTGACTCCTCTGCTCAGCTTTCCCCGTGAGGAGCCTGAAAGCCTGCTCACTGACCCCCGCGGGTCCTTCTCCGGGGCTCAGGGCCAGTCCACTCCCCCGCTCGGGGTCAGCAGCTGAGCTCAGGCCCTGCCCCCAGCAGCCGCCCCGGCCCTCTGCGGCCGAATGCCCCCCTGCCGGCCCCCCCCTCGGGGCGCCAGTTCCCACAGCTTGGCGTTGGGACCAGGGCAGCACGCCCTCTGGTCTCCGCCGTCTGGAAGGCGCACTGGCTGGGGGCAGCGGGCGGCCGGGCGCGTCGGCCGCAGTTCCAGCCCGCTTGGTCCGGCCGAGCCGGCGCCCAGGCCCTGGGTCAGGGGCCCAGCCCCCGGGGCAGCCCTCTGCGCCTTCGCTGCTCGCTCGGCTGGGGCCAAGGGCCTGGCTTCCTCACTCCCTCGTTTCCATGCTCGGCTCATCGTTGGAGCCGTGACAGGTCCCAGGCTGGACAAGACGTTTTCTTAGAAAAACGAGCCATTTTCTGTGGGAGCTCCCCTCTTGGGGGACACCTGGTTGTTAGGGTTCCCTCGGGGAGCCCGGCACATGTGGCTCAGGGGCTGAGCCACGACCCATGAACCAGGAGGTCACAGCTCGATGCCCGGTCAGGGCACAGGCCCAGGTTGCAGGCTCCATCCCCTGTGGGTGTTTCTCTCTCTACCCGTCTGCTTTCCTCTTTCTAAAACCCCATAAAGCCGAAACCGGTTTGGCTCAGTGGGTAGAGCATCAGCCTGCAGACTGAAGGGCCCCGAGTTCGATTCCGGTCAAGGGCATGCACCTTGGTTGTGGGCACATCCCCAGTGGGGGGCATGCAGGAGGCAGCTGGTCGATGATTCTCTCTCATCGATGTTTCTAACTCTCTATCCCCCTCTCTTCCTCTCTGTGAAAAAATCAATAAAATATATTTAAAAAGACAATAAAAACAGACGTTTCTTAAAGTTCCCTCGGTAAGAGCAAGGGCAGCAGTCACAGGACCAGCCCACCTGCTGGAAAGAGCCGTCCCTGCAGGGGCTGCACCTGAGCCCTCCTCTCCCCGCTCGCTGCCCTGACCTTGGCCCGGCGTGGCCGCGCGTGTGCCCGGGCGGCCGCTGTTTACCAGCAGGCACCGGAGTGCCCTCGACAGTGACGATCCTGACAGCTTTGCTGAGGCCCCGCCACCTCCCTCCCGACCTCCCGGGAACAGAGCCCGCGTCAGCAGAGCGGCCAGTTAATCATTGACCCACACCTTCCAGGAACCGCCAGTTCCCCCCGCCCCGCCCCGCCCCGGGGTTAACGGAGGGCAGGGCTTCCCCGGCCCCGGCCCCGGCCCGCTGGCTCTGGGTGTGAAAAGGTCCACGCCGTGTCCGAGGACCGCCCACACGGGGAGGGCCTCCATGTCCCTCCGGGTCAGGGGCACCGGCCCTCGCTGCTCCTCTCCGGGGGGGGGGCAGCAGGGACAGGCTCAGGCCTCCCCTTCCCCGGGGGCCGTCCCCCTGGGCCACCCCGCCTCCTGAGGGAGGGTCTGCAGCGGGCAGGAGGCACGGGAGGGTGGGGGGCTGCGGGGGGGGGGGCAGGTGCCCAGTGGCTGGCTCCTTCTGGGGCAGAGCCCTCAGCTCAGAGCGAGGACTTGGCCATGGTCCCAGTGGGCCAGGCTGGCTGCCTGCTCCCAGACCAGGGCTCAGAGGGCCGGTGTCCCCCTGGCTGGGCAGGTGGTGCTCTGAGCCCGGAGGGGACGGCAGGATGGGCCAGCCCTCCATAAAGCAGCGGCCTCTCTCCCCAGCCCTGCACCCCCCCAGGTCCACCCTCCGCGGCCCCGGCCACAGCAGGCTCCTCTGGACCAGCCCCAGTCCCAGCGGAGGGACCAGCAGCCCTCGGCGGGAGTGTGGTGGGACCAGGGGGAACTGTCCAGATCGGGGGTGGGGAGGCACAGCAGCGGACAGCAGCTCCTGGCAGCCCTGGGTGCGGACCACCTGACCCAGCGCCCGAGCCCCTCCCATAGGGCCCAGCCCCGGGGCGCCGTGAGGGTGTCTGCGAACTGACCATCACGTGTGGCAGGTGGACTAACAGGGGCCGAGGCCCGAGAAGCAGGGCAGAGGGCAGAGGACAGAGGGCAGAGCGCCGAGTGGCTGCCTCAGTGGGCAGCGCTGGGAAGGAGGGAGGAAGGGACAGGAAGGGGCCAAGGACCGGGCAGGGCAAAGGAGAGTATCAGGTCTGAGGGGGAGGGGTGGGGAGGGGTGAGCTGGCTGAGGCCGGGCGAGGCTGACCCCGATGGGCTGCTGGGAGCGGGTCCGAGGAGGACCCAGGGTCAGGACGGGGTGCCCAGGTGTGACCGGCACCTGGGAATGCAGAGGAACGGCTGGACAGAGGGAGGAGGAAGGGGGCAGAGGTCAGAGCCGTGGGGAAGGGGCTCCTGAGGGGCAGGTCACGTGTGGACAGCCGAGGAGGGAAAGGGGTTCGAGGATGAGGCTGAGGCTGCCCTGCCCGCCCAGGGAGGGGCCCCCACGGTCAGGCACGGTGCTCAGAGGAGCCTTCCCCGGGGCTCCGGCCTCCACTGGGTTCCCGCCCTGAAGCAGCACCGGCTGCCCCACACACAGCGGGCACTCCTGCCCACTGGGGTCAGGCCAGCGCCACGGCAGACACAGCACAGGTCCCCGAGCCCCTGCCTGCGCCCTCCCCCAAGAGCCAGAGCCCTCAGGGGGGCCAGAGCCCTCACGGGGGCCAGAGCCCTCACGGGGGCCCGAGCCCTCACGGGGGCCCGAGCCCTGGGGGCCAGGAGGCGGGCAGCAGGGATGGCGGGGCAGGTCACAGCGCTCACTCGCAGCCCCCGCAGCCTGCCCGCCGGCCGGTGGGCCGGGAAGGGGCACAGGGTCCGGGCAGTGAGGACGCGGCCGCTGAGCGCCCTGCCTCCGGGGCGGGCACCGGCCAGAGCGGTTTGGGACTCGGGCAGGGGGTAAAGGGGCCGCCCCGTCCCTCCGCCCGGAGGCTGCCGCCCGCGGACTCACCGCCGTGGTGGCTCCGCATCCCGATGGTGCCCCCGGTGTAGATGGCCAGCAGCCGCCGCTCGGGGCCCGCCGCGCGCGCCATGCGGCCGGACCGGTGGGGGCAGAGGCTGCGGGCGCCGGAGGGGCTGCGGGCGCCGGAGGGGTGCGGGCGCCGGAGGGGTGCGGGCGCCGGAGGGGCTGCGGGTGTCGGAGGGGTGCGGGCGCGGGACGCGGGACGCGGGGCGGCGGGAACGGACTGAGGAGGAGAGCCCAGGGCCGGGCGGTGGGGCTCGCTGGGCGGGGCCTGCTGGGGGCGGCGCAGGAGGGAGCTGGGTCTCCCCGAAAGTAGGGGAGGGGTGGGCCTGCGGGGCTGGAGGGGCACTGCTTGGGGCGGGGCGGGGCCTATTGGGGTGGGCGGGGTCTGGCGGGGGGGGGCTATTGGGATGGGCGGGGTCTGGAGGGTGGGGCGGGGCCTATTGGGATGGGCGGGGCCTGGTGGGGGCTATTGGGTGGGCGGGGTCTGGAGGGCGGGGCGGGGCCTGTGGGGCTAGAGAGGCACCAGCTGGGGGCGGGCCGGAGGGTGGGGCGGGGCCTATTGGGGAGGGGTTGGGGCCTATTGGGGAGGGGAGGGGCTAGCGGGTGGGCGGGGCCTGTCTGGAGGGCGGGGCCCGAGCACCGGGATCCGTGTCTGGGGCCAGGGCCAGGGGTGCAGGTCGTGCCCCGCAGACAGTAGCGCTGTCAGCCGCAGGGACCCGGTGCCCAGCAGCCTGGCGCTGTTAGCCACCTTGGGGTCCACTCCATGGGGTGGTCGGGCCTGGGCAGAGACCCCAGCCCGCCCCTTCCACCGGGTCCAGAAGGACCCCAGGGCAGGGCGGGAAGGAAGGAGCGGTGCAGGGTCCGAGGAACGATTTGGAGCTGCCGGTTCCGGGCACAGCCCAGGCCGCCCACGGTTTGGGAAGAGCCCGGATTGTGGTTCCGCGGAAGCTACTGTGATCCTGGTCATGAGTCCCTTCCCCGTCACCTGGACGCTGCCTGGGGGGGTGGGGTCTGTATTAGTTTGGGGGTCTGTATTGGTTTGGGGTATTAGTTTAGGGGTCTGTATTAGTTTGGGGGGGTCTGTGTTAGTGTGGGGGTCTGTATTGGTTTGCTCCGGCCGCCTCAGCAGGAGGGCAGATGGCAGCTTGTTCACGGAGGGTCTCAGTCCTGGGGGCTGGGATCCGAGCTAGGGCAGGCCGGGCTCCTCCCCAGGCCCCTCGTCACTGACCCCGGTGTCTGTGCCCAAACCCCTCTCCCAGGTCACCGCTCGGCCTCTGTTCACTCCAGCCCCCCAAGGCCTGGCCTCCAGGCACAGCTGCCTTCCGAGGTGGGGGCGTGGGGGCGGGCGGGGCGTGGGGTGGGGAGGGGCCTGGGTGGGGAGGGGCGTGGGGGCGGGGCGGGCCTCCGGGACCCAGGCAGATTTGAGACCAGGGCGGAGGGCGGAGGGCGGAGGGCGGAGGGCGCCTCGCAGCTGCTGGGGTCTCGGGGCCACAGCCGCTCTGCCGGCCGCTCCCGCTCGGCGCTCTCAGTGGTTTCCTGGATGTGACTCCAAAGCACAGGAAGATTCGCACAAATGGGACACAGCCGCCCGTATGGTCTGTGCACCGAGGACACGGGGCAGGGGAGAAGCCACGTGTGGGCCCGGGACGACGTGGCCAGGCACAGCCCATTGGGCTGGAGCGCTGTCCGGACCCAGCAGCCCGCTCCGGGATGGCCCAGGTGCTGGGGGTCCGGGGACACACGTGCCCGTGCTCGCCGCTGCCCTCCCGCAGCCGAGGGGAGCCCGGGGCCTGAGGACGGGGATGAACGGAGCCAGGGTGCCCCCTCAGGCACGCGGGCCCGAGAGCCGGCCCGGAGCCCAGGCGGCCTGGCCTGTGCGCGGGGAGAAGCCAGTCCGGGCGACGGCGGCTCCCTGCTCACAGGGACGCGGGTGGGAGCGGGCGGGGGGGGGGCCCTTTATGGGGTGTTTCAGACAGCGCGATGCGAGGCCTGGTGACTGTCTCAGCAATGTCCGGCACCTGTAGCCGGTTCCCTTGGAAAACGCTGCTTCCCACTCCGTAGAGGGAGTGGGGCAGACCAGGGAAGCATGTCCACAGCGGGTCTGGCCAGGACTGTCTCCCCGCTGGGGGTTCCGGCAGCAAGAGCAGGAGCAGGAGCGCCCTGCCCGTCCTCAGGGCCCTCTGCTGGCAGGGCTCCAGGGCAGGGCCACGGGCTCCAGGGCCTGTGTAGGTGACCGCACCGGCTGGGGCCCAGAAGGCCCCTCGGGCATCGCCGTCTGCCCAGGAGGCCGCTCCCAGCTTCACTCCTCAGGGCGGTCAGCGGAGAGCGAGCGAGCTCAGCCCAGGAAGGAGGCAGCTGCAGACACCACGCCCACGAACTCGGACCAGGCAGGCGAGGCCAGTGACGGGGACGCGTGGCGGACTGCTGTGGAGACGGTTACCCCGAGGCGGCTGGCTGCACGGTGTGGGGTCAGCGGCATCCGCCGAACCAGGCCTCAGACCTGATGTGAATCCCACCTGATCACCGCGAAGGGACAGCCCCTGCCGGGCAGAGCCACGTGGCCGGGGCGGCAGGGAGAGTGCCGTTTCCTGGTTAACGTTGCACCACGCTCCTCTGGATAAGCCACCCGCCATCGCACACCGGGGACGGTGCTCCCGTCGCCGATGAGAACGCTCGACGGGAACTCCTGCTTGATGAGTCCGACCTCGTTTCCCGAACGAGGTGTCCCCGTGCCAACCGTCTGCAAGCTCGTGGGGGGCTCCCAGGCCTGCAGCCAGCAACCCTGTGGGGCTGAGGTGGCAGTGCCCCCGTCCTGATGCCCCGATTCATGAGGAGACAGCACCCCCACCCCTGGAATTGGGAGCTGAAACCCAAGTCCATATGCTCAATGGTTAGAGCGCTGGCTTGTGAACTGAAGGGTCACAGTTTCCATTCTGGATTGTAGGTTCGATCCCCAGCCCTCAAGTCCAGGCCCACACTCACCACTGAGCCACACTGGCGGCGAGGCCTCTTTTAAAAGGCAGCTCTGAGAACAGCCCTGTACCCGTGGCCACGAGGGCTCAGCTGGCTCCTGCCCAGCAGTGGGCTCCGTCAGGGCACAGGCCCGGGTGGCTGCTCCATCCCAAGTGTGGGCGGGGCAAGAGGCGGCCAATCGATGTTTCTCATCATTGATGTTTCTCTTTCCCCCTCTCCCTTACACTCTCTCACATCAATAACAACATTAAAAAAATAAGCCTATATTCCTTTATCGGTTTTATAACTTTGGATTTTTTTGTGGTTAAAATACATTTCCGTCTCCTGATGTAAAAATGTCAGAAACAGAAACTGAGTCTAATGCTTTATTGTCTGAACAGATGCAGCTGCCAGTAACCTCTGATTTCCAAAATGGGAGCTAAGAACTGTAACTGAGATGAAAACCTAAATCACACAAAACTCAAGTTCCTTTTCCCGAACTCAGACATGCTCCCTCCTGGACAGAACTGGAGGCCCCGGTGTGGAGAGCAGCGGTGGCACATGGTGGTGGCGGCGGCGGGCGGGGCGGGGACAAAACAGGGGGGCGGGGGCAGACACGCGAGCTCGGCTGCTGAGCTTCCTCGGACAGCGGACACGGCTCCGTCGGGCTTGGCTTTCAGAGGCTGTTTTCAGCTAAGACAGCAGGGACCGAGCGTAGATGCCGGCATGGAGGTGGCCGCCAGCCCCCGGCGCCCGGCGCCTAGGAGCTGAGCACGATCAGCCGGTGCAGCTGGTACAGGAAGGGGCTCTTGCCCCGGCCGCCCTCCCGCTCCGCCTGCTCCATGACCAGCTTCGGGTCCACCTGTGACACAAAAGCACCCGTCAGACGTGGACTGGGCCCAGAGAGCTGCGTGAAGGGAGAAAGCACGCACAGGCACACGCACACGCACGTGAACACGCACAGGTGGGGAGGCAGCAGAAGCGCGTTCCCAGGTCACCTCTCCCAGCACAGCCCCACTGAGTGCCCTGCCTTCAAATCCACTGACCGGCACGGGGCCGCCCTCGGGCCCCCCGCCTGTGTGGGCGTGACGTGCGTGACTTCGCTGTAAGCGTACGAAGCAGCACGTTTTTGTTTTTTGTTTTATTTTGTGTTTCGGGGGAGAGTGCGGACACAGTCCCCCACTACCACCAATCACGCAGTTGAGTTTCCACATTTGGGAAATCGCAGGAGTCAGCACATCCGGAATGCCATGGATAAGCCTCGCCCTGGAAAACCACCTTCGCGACCATGGGCTCTCCCCTGCCAGGTAAGTCACGTTTCCTAAAGCGCTGACCAACCTCACAGTGAAGTTCTGCTCTGAGCTTCACCCCGGGAAACGGCGGGGTGGCTGGGCCCCACAGCGCAGGCTAGGGATGGCCCCGAGGCTCTGGCGACGAAGCCGGTCACGGGCACACGGAGCGAGGGCACGTGGCCCTGGGGAGGGGCCCTCACCAGACACCCGCTCTGGGTTAAAGCTCAGACCCCTCCTGGACCCTTTTCCTGGACCCCACATTGTACCCCGTTCTCCACCCTTCCCAGGAGAGGCCCAGGGGCAGAGGGCCCCGCCGAGGCTTTGATGTTAAGGGCTGAGCTGGGCCAGGTTCCCTGCTGAGGCTCACACCCAAGGCGATGAGGCCAGGTGACCAGGGTTGGATGCAGGGGTGCGGGAGGGACCCCAGAGCTCCCTGCCACACAGCGGGAGGTTGGGTGTGTAGGGGCAGGAGCAGGGTCTGCACTCGGGCCCCTTCCCAGCCTCCAGCCTCTGAGACCGTGAGCGAATGGCTGCTGGCTGGCCCGCCCGGGAGGTGCTGTGACAGCGGGAGCCAGGACAGGGAACTCAGGCCTCCTGCTCCACCCACAGCCCCAGGCAGGACCAGGCCAGAGTCTGGTGCAGAAACGGGGGGGGGGGGGGGGGCAGATAGGGGGTGTCTGGGGGAGGAGGGGTCTGTGTGGCCTCGATAACCAGCCGCTGCTCTCGGGCCGCCGTCCCTCACCTGGTTCCACTCGTACGGCTTCTCAGGCCACTTGGGGGCCGTCCTCGCTCTCGGCTTCAGCTGACAGAACAAACTAGAAGTTGGGAAAGAGAATCAGTCATCCACTGCGCTTTCCTAAAGAGCCAACCCTGCACCTGCCCTCGGACTCGCTGCGACCTCGCACACAGAGCAGGCTCAGGGTGCGGCGCCCCACGCGCCACAACGTGCCGGCGAGGGGCCGGAGTCAGGCCTGCACGGCCCCGCACTCACGCCTCTTGAGCTTGGTGACCAGCAGGACGACCCTGACGGGCGCCGCCCACGGCAGTTCTCTCTGGGCCACACCTCACTGGCTACCTTACCTGCGACGTGTGTTTTCCTGAGGAGCAGGGAGGAGAGTGAACCAAACCAGCCTCTCTCCCGGCAGCTCCCAGCTCCGCTCGCCACTGTCACGGTGCCCACAGCTAGGACACCGCCCACCGGCTCGCACAGCTCAGGGTGCTGTCTGGCAGAGGGACCTGCCACCAGCCCCGGTCTGGCTGGGTTTGGCCTTGGGGGTCCAGCAGCAGGGATAGGGGGGTCGGGAGGCTTGTCCCTGACCTTCCTGGGGGAGGCTCACAGGCCGAGCTCAGCCTGCAGGCCCTGCCCCCAGGGACCCCCGCCACTGCACCTGGAAAGGGTCCCTCGGCTCCATTTTTCTCAGGTCTCCCAACGTGAGGGCGCCCAGCTCCCGCCCGGGCCTACGGCAGTCACAGGCGGCTGCTCCCGCTGAGCCGGGGCCTCTAGGTGCTGCCTCAGCCCAGAGCGTCTGTCACCGCCGCCCAGCCTGCCCCGCCCGGACTCCGGGAGGGCCAGGGGCTGGGGCTGCGGAGGGAGCGCACACTCACCCCAGCAGCTTCTGGCGGACGCTGTCCTGCAGCTGCGCCACTCTCTCGGGGCCCAGGTGCCTGGCCCCGTTGGGCCCGTCGCACACCAGCTTGTTGATGGCGGCCCGCAGGATGTTGATCTGCAGAGGGAGGGGCGGAGCGCCCGGTGGCCCTGGGGCAGCGGCTCACTGCGGCTCCCGCTTAGCACAGAGCCACACACACACACACACACACACACACACACACACCCTCCTCTCCCAGCAAATTCAGACACAGTCCCTTCCACTGCCGCTGCTGTCACTTAAGAAATTAACAAAAAAGCAGCAAAAATCAGCAACAAAGGTTCCTGAGCACAAGACCCTCCCTGAGCCTGGAGCCCCGTGTCTGAGCACACGCTGCCCCCTGGGAGCCTGTGTGGAGCAGCCTGGCCGCCTCTGCCGCCCCCACAGCCCGAGCGGCCGGACCGCCGCCCGGCGGGAGGGAGCGGGACACGCAGGAGCAGCTCACCTCCACCACGTCCTCCACGCTGAAGCGCACGTCGAAGGCCAGCTCCATGTCGTGCTCCGGCAGGATGGGCGCCCCGGTGGCCGGGCTCCAGCCCAGGCCGCAGAGGGCTCCGGTGTAGCTCTTCCCGTCCTGGTCCACCCTAGGCGGCAAGGAACAGGGCTGGCGCTGCTTCCATGAGGATGGAGCTGACCCCGGGTCCACGCCACAAGCGGGCAGTGCACAGTCATCCATGACATGGTGGCCGACCACGCCAGCGCTGCACTTCTCCCGTGTCTGCCCTGCCCCTGCCCTCCGCCCCTGCGGACCCCGCGCCTCTTCGGTGAGGATGGACAAGGGCACCGGAGTGGCACTGCCTGGGCTCTTGCTGACAACTGGCTGCTAGACATCGAGCCACGCTCACAAGCCACAAACCCAGCGCAGCCTTCACAGCGTCAGAGCCTGTGCCAGCTCCACCTGTCTCCTCTGCCTGTGGCATGCGCACTCCTGGGGAGGCCACGTGGACCTGCCTGAGCCTCAGCTGCCCTCAGCCAAGGTGCCCGCCAGTACAGGGCACCGGCCAGCATAGGGTGCCCGCCAGCATAGGTGCCCGCCAGCACAGGCTCCAGCCGGCACAGGGCACTGGCCAGCACAGGGTGCCCACGGCACAGGCTCCAGCTGGCACAGGGCACCGGCACAGGGCACCGGCTGGCACAGGCTCCTGCCGGCACAGGCTCCCGGCTGGCACAGGCCTCCCGCCTGCACAGGGCACCGGCCAGCATAGGGTGCCCGCCGGCACAGGCTCCCGCCAGCATAGGCTCCTGCCGGCACAGGGCAGCGGCCAGCAGCAGGTGCGTCGTGGCCGGTGGTCCTCCCCGGGGCCACCCAGTGGTCCTCCCCGGGCCGGCGGTACCTGAGCTCCATCACCGGGGCGAACAGCATGCTGAGCAGGGCGGGCAGCCCGGGGATGTGCGGCAGCAGGGACGTCTCCCTCAGCAGCATGGTGGACCCTGCGGACAGGTGTGCGGGCCCCTGTGCACAAGCCCACTGCCGCCCTGGCCCACAGACACACCCGCAGCCACGGGCCCCTTGGCCGGCCCCTCAGCCCCGCAGACCGTGGCGGGTCCTCTGCTCGGGCCTTCTCCCCTCCTCCTCGCCAGGTGGGGGTCTGCAGGGCTGGGACTTGGGGGCTCCCTCAGCGCGGGCGGTGAGGATGAGGGGGAGCTGCCCTGGCGCAGGAGAGGCCGAGGCTCCCCTCTCAGACGGCCTCCGCCCACCGCCCAGGAGCAGCCCAGACCACGGATGCACCACCCCAGGACGGGCCTGCTGGAGGGCTGGAGGGAGAGGAGCGGGGGGAGGGGTGAACGGGGGGGGGGGGGCTGGGGGCCCGCCGCACTCACCCGTGGCGTTGACGGAAAGGGAGGCAGCCACCAGCACCCGCTGGTGCAGGTCCTCGGGGGCGTCGCTGATGGCCACCGAGTTGATGCTCTCCTTCTCGATCCAAACGCGCCTGGAGGAGGGCACAGCCGTGGTCCCGCCTGGGCGTGCGGATGCCCACCCGGACGGGTCCCTGCGGCACAGAGACAGGGACTACCCCCTGCCTGCACCACTGCCCCTCCCCCTCCCACCTCCGCCAGGCAGGCACCCAGGGACGGAGGGGCAGAGAACTCCCACCTCACCCTGCAGACACCACCCCACGCCCACGGAGAGCAGAGAGCGGTGGGCCCTGGGCCCAGCATGGACGCCGTGCAGTCCACACGCCCCCGCGAGTGGCCTGTGTGCTCGCTCCCGGACCCTTCCACCTGGAGCGCCGGCGTGGCCCCGGCCGCCGTGGGGCCGAGTGCTCAGCCAGCGGGCCTGGGCGCGAGTCTCACTTCTAACAAGACCCGGCCCCGTGCAGCCGGTCCAGGGCCCGAGGGCAGGCTCCCCGCAGCCACAGTGACCCAGGAACAGGCATGCAGGAGGGCTGCCCCGCCCCGCGACTGCACCAGCCGCACCCTCTGCCCCCACCGACCGCTCCGCCGCGGGGCTCCCGGGGAGGCCCACCTGCGCCCGACACTGCCACCTGGTCCCCCTCTCCCTCACCCCGTGGCCGCCCGCCCCGAGCCTCAGGTCTCCGAAAGCCTCCCTGCGGGGCCTCCGGTGCTTCCCAGTGCTGTGGCCCCCAGACCCGTCACCTGCCGTGTGAGACCACCCCTCCTGTGTGCCCCCACGGGGCCCATCATGTGGGAGGTCACCGACTGCACTGTTCGCTACTGACCCCCCACACCGCGCTGTTCTCAGAACCTGGGGCAGCCTGAGTGTGCTGAATGACGACGACGATAGTGAGGACAGAAAAAACAAGTCTTTGATGGAAAATACTCAAGAACATCTTGCACAGTATGGGGGGGGGGCAATGTTAAAATATGTACACAGATAATAATTTAATAAAAAAAATATTAAAAAACAAAACATCTTGCACAGAACGGCTTTCAGATCAGAGGGAGGGAGGGAGGGGGGAGGGAGGGGCTGGAGAGTTAGAAAAGGTAACAGGCGCTCATACGTTGGGGTACAGGGAGCCATTTCTGGGAGCAGAGTGAACGCCCACGGGGACGAGGGAACCGTACCTGAACTTGGATATTCTGGTCAAACTGTGGCACTTCAGCTCGTAGGGGTTAAAGGGCCCGTGCAGTACTACCTGTCACACAGCACACACGTTACCGGGAAGCAAGATACCCCGCACGTGCACTTAAACCCAAAGCAGCAGTTTTAAAAAGAAAGAGCCCTGATGTTCGGTCCCCCTCCTCTCCGAGAGCAACACGAAGCTTTTAAAGCAGCCACGTCCTCGAGATCGGCAGGAGCAGTGCTCCCAAGAAGGTCCTCGTCTGGACTCCTCCCTCGCCACGCACACTGCAGAGCCTCTGCCAAGGCCACACGAACACTCCGGCCCCCGCAGCGCCCAGGCGGGTGGACAGGCAGCACGGAGCGGCGGGCCCGGCAGGACAGGGTGGGGACGCGGCGGCCGGTGCCCTCCCCACAGGAGGCCACAGGAACCCAATGTCCGCTGTTTCCTCCAATACACAAGCTGCTCGCCTTGAGAAAGGCTGGTCTGAAAAAGGACTAGCCCTGCTGGTGTGGCTCGGTGGCTGAGAGGGTCAGCCTGCACAGTGAAGGGTCTTGGGTTCGAGTCCCAGTCAAGGGTACTTGCGTGGGTTGTGGTTCACTCCCCACCCCCAGTCGGGGTATGGGTGGGAGACAACCAATGTGTCTCTTTCACATTAATGTTTTTCTCCATCTCCCTCCCTCCCTCCCTCTCTGAAAAGCAATGAAAAAACACCCTCATATGAGGATTAATAAAAACATATCTATGTAAAAAGCCAGCGACCAGAACACTGTAATGACCACAAGGCTGGTAGCTACAATGCCCTCTGCAGCCAGCAAATTGGCCTGACTGGGGGGAGGCCCCTGCTCCTAGCCAGATTGGCCCATAGCCCCTCCCCCCACCAGCTCCGCCCCCCGTTGGCCCCTCCACTTTGATCAGGGGCAGGACCCGCTGCCCAGTCCTGATCAGGCCCCGATCAGGGAGGTCCCGGCCGGCCAACCTCCCGCTGTCTCCTTCTCCGGATAGGCCTGACTGGGGTGCACTGGGCCTCTAGTGACTAAATAACACACACTGCTTATTTACTGGGTTAGAGAAAGACGAGTCCACGCGTTCCCTACAGCAAACCCAAGCTTCTCTTGGAGAAGGCTCCCGGGGGAAGAGGCCGGGAGCCAGAACGGTCGTGCCGTGCCCACCTGGGCTGGCAGTGCGAGTGAGGCCGGAGGTACCTTGTGGTTTGGGGGCCCCAGCTTGTTGGAGGAGAAGCTGTCCAGCAAGACCCGGATCAGGTGCTTCTCACTGTCCTTCGTGGGGGACGGCGAGCACGTGTCGGCCACGTGTTCTGATTTGGAAAAGAGACCCTTGAGAGCTTCGTGGCTTTGCTGAACAAAAGCAGAGAAGCTTGTCTTACTACAAGGAAAGTGGGTGAAAAGCTCTTTGTGCCAACTAACTCAGTGTTTCCGAGGTGGGACCTCTCCCAGCTGACCTCCGGGACCAAAGACACCGGCACCCACACAGGAGTGGCGCCGGGCCAATCTGGGCGGGGCCCGCTAGGAGCCGTACTGCCCCCTGCCGCCGGCGCCGAGAGCGAGGGGTGTGGAGCGAGAAGCTGGCAGAGAGCTCCCTGCACACGCGGTGCTGACTGCCGGGGATGTCGCCGGGACCGGCAGAGTGTCTACGATGGGACCCCACGGGCGGCTCTAGCTCACGACCCCCACCCCTCCCCCCGGGGGTCGCAGCTGAACCCCCGCCTGCCCCAGCAGCCTCACTGCGCCCTCTACACCGCGGACCCAGAGGCCCCGCTGCAGGAGGGCTGTGACGTCTTAAATGTCTGATGATAGGAAACCCGCCACCACCACCGGCCACCACAGCCCGAGAGCCCAGCGGGCCCAGAGGGCACCCAGGTCCTCACAGACGCCCCCGGCCCGGCCCCCGGCCCTGCGCACCCGGGACTCGTAGCACTCCTCGGCCAGCTCGGCGTGGCCCTCCTCGATGAGCACGTCCCGGACGTTGACGAAGTCCTGCAGCCCCGAGGACAGGTACAGGTCCACGTGCAGGACGCTGTGCACCACCGAGAAGACCTTGACCAGCAGCGCGCGGCCGCTGACCAGGGCGGCGAAGCGCCGGCTGGCCTCTCCGCTCCAGTGCTCGCCGCACACCAGGGACCGTGCCGACGGGCGCAGCCTGCAGACCTTGAACTCCAGCGCCTGCGGGCGAGGGCAGGGCAGGCCAGGCCTGAGCCATCCGCCCCGAGGGTCTGCCCTGTGACTCGGCGCTCTCATAAACCCACACAGGCCCGGCCCGTGCGGATCGGGGTCAAGCTGGTCCCATAAACCCGGAAGTCACCAGCTCTGCTCCCTCAGGGCATCGGCCCAGATCACCGGGGATCCCCGGGGGCGTGCAGGAGGCAGCCGATGGATGATTCTCTCACATGGAAGTGTCTACCTCTCTCCCCCTCTCCCTCACGTTCTGCAACCAATAAAAAAGCACCCGAGCCGAAGCCGGTGTGGCTCAGTGGATAGAGCGTCGGTCTGCGGACTGAAAGGTCCCTGGTTCGATTCCGGTCAAGGGCATGTACCTTGGCTGCAGGCACATCCCCAGTAAGGGTTGTGCAAGAGGCAGCTGGTCGATGTTTCTCTTTCATCGACATTTCTAGCTCTCTGTCCCTCTTCCTTCCTCTCTGTAAAAATCAATAAAATATATATTTAAAAAAGCACCCGAGCTGAGCGAGGCTCCCAGGGAGAGGCCTGGGCTCGCTCCTCAGCAGCAATGCAGGTGCAGGAGGCCTACTCCTCCTGACAGACAGCCGTCTGTCTGTCTCCAGCCGACAGAAGTCGCCTGGTTTCAACAGTACCAAAAACCTGTACCAACTGTGAAACCGTCCATTTAACTCCACAACCAACACTGGTAAAAATGCCCGCAGCGACACACGTGCAGCAAAAAGCAGAGCCCCGATCGGGTGGGGTGGCAGGGAGCCCGCCCACCTGGAAGGGAAGCTCGAGAAGCTGGCTGGGGATCTCCATCAGCAGGTCCAGGGCCACGTGGGACTTGTTGCCGTAGTCCACGAAAAACACCTGCAGGTAAGGGCGCACGTCAGCACGAGGCCAGGGCGGCTCCTCTGTGTCCACCGTGCCGGCCAGGGCCGTGCGGCGTCCCTCTGCTCCCCATGTCCCTGAGGGAGAGCTCTCCTGCCGGGCCACCGTCTAACTCTCCTTCCTGCCGCCCTTCCCCTCTGGCAAGGACTCTGCCCAAGGCCAGGGCCCCAGTGAGCGCAGCGGACGCACCTCGGCAGAGCTCCCCGACACATACAGGATCTGCGCCCGGAAGTAGCTCTGCTCCTCGGCGTCGGCAAACGGCGCCAGGCAGACCAGGTCCGGGTGCGGGTGGACGGCCAAGGGCGCCAGCTTCAGGCGCTTTATCTCCACCATCAGCTTCTTCAGGGTGGCGGCGTTCTTCTCGTCGATCCTGTACCCCCAGAAGTGCCCCACCTCCACCACCTGCAGGAGGCGCCACCGTGAGCCTCAGGCCCCTGCGGGCTCCAGCTCCAACCCTGGCCGGCAGGGGACTGGGCTCCCACAGCGCCCAGGAAGGGGTTCTGGCAGCCACTGGGAGGCGCAGCCCTTCCCCTGCGGCCGCCGCTGCCCTGGAGCCCGGTGCCCGTGGCTGCCCAGTGGCGTGGCTGCCACGCGCAGGAAGCACGCCTGCACTCCAGCTGGCACATCAGCTCCCAGGCCCCAGATAACCGTGCGAGGCTCACCGTGTGGCCATACGGACATGGACAGCACAGGCACACACTCTTACTCCCACTAACGTTTGTACGTGCATCTTGTGGCTAAAACTGACTAACATTTAAAACTCCGCTTTCAGTCGAAAACGAGCATCGGTGTTGCACCTGGTGTGCTGGCCCATTTCGGCTCCGCCCCCTCCTGAGGGGACTGTGCGCACTCGTGGCAGCTCGGACACAGGCCGAAAGCGCGGGCCTACCTCCGTGACGTCCACCGTGAGGAAGAGATCCGGCACCAGCCGGGACCTGCCCGTCGTGCTGAACGACACCTGGACGGGGTCCACCGTCTGCTTCTGGAAGTCCACGTTCACCCTGCACGCGGTTTTGGAAAAGGAGTCACAGGCCAGCGTGACAGGGAACACCGCCGCCCCGCCCGCCACCTCAGTGCAGAGACGGGCTTGGTCCTCCAGCTTGAGTGTCTGCTGCTCCTGAGTGGCCACACGCCCGCGAGGGACACAGTGAGCGCCGGGCTGCATGTCCCGGGGTTCGGAGGCGAGGGGCCTGGGCCTCCAGAACTCGGCAAGCGGCCAGGCCAGCGGGACAAGTCCCCGAGACCAGGCAGGGCCTTGCCCTCCAAGCTAAGAGCGCCCGCACACTGCCCAGTGTGACACGCAGCTCCGCTGGGACGACACTGCCCTCCCCGGCGCCGACTTCACTGCCATAAGGTCGAGAATTGTAGCAGATCCTGTCCCGCTCTCCCCAGTCCAGTCCCCTGACTGACCGAGAGCAGCTGAGGCAAAGGCACCCCAGATGTCCAGACCACCACACCCCGTGCCTGGCCCGGCAGCCCACGCCGGCGCTCACGGCACGCACTGCCCTCACCAGCTCAAGCTCCTGGTGGAGTAAAACGTCCCGAGGAGAAAGTGCGAGGGGAGAAGGCCAACCACGTGCAGGCGAACAGGACCCGGCGGCCACGTGATGTCACCGTGGTCCCAGAGAAGGAAGTTCAGGTGCTCGATGGCCGCTCACCAGGGAAGGGCCTTCGCCCGCCCACCTTCCGCTGAGAACGGAGCGCAGTGTGATTTGCTCTCAGAGGAGATGGGCGGCGAGAGGAAGGAGGGCCTGGGGTTCAGTCTAAACAGGGGGAACGCGCCCCGCCACCCCGCAGCCACATCAGCACGCGGCCCGCTTCACAGCAGTGCGCTCGTGGAGAGGCTCGCTGGCCCACAGCGGAGACGTGGCAGCCAGAGGGCAACGCCCGGGTACAGACGGAGGCCCCTGGACAGACCCGGCAGAGCCCACGGCGCGTGAGAAGCGCTCCGCCAGCACACCTCCGCGAGCGGCCACGTCAGCCCATGCAGCGGCGGCATCGCGACCCCAGCAGAGCGCTGCTGGCGGGGCTCAGGGACCCTGCGCACCGGGCCGCACGGGGCCGCACGGGGGCCGCTGAGACCGGCCTGAGGCCCGCAGATGGACACAGAGCCCCCGGCGGGCGGCCAGCAGCCCCTCCTCTGTGCCTTTAGCCAAGGCCCGAAAACACCGACTCACAAGACCTGCCCTTGTTCCCAGCAGCCATGGCAGGAGGGCACGTGCTGGCTGGTGAGTGGGCAGAGAAGGGGTGGCATGTTACTCAGCCATCAAACACAAGACAATCTTATCACTGAAACAATGTGGATGGGCCTTGAAGGCACTGCCCTAAGGGAAATCTAACACACACACACACATACACACACACACACACACACACACACACACACACCCCTCTCAGGCCCGACAGGCCGGCCTCACTGACTGAACGTGGACCTATGACCAGGAGGTCACGGTTTGATTCCCGGTCAGGCCACACGCCCGGTTGCGGGCTTGATCCCCCATCAATGATTCTCTCATTATCGCTCTCCCTCTCCCTTCTTCTCTGAAATCAATTAAAAAATTAAAAAAAGCGCTCAGACTGTGGCTACGGGGGCAGGAGGGGTGGGGAGAGGAGATGGGAGGAAGGTGCGCAGAGAACAGGAAGGGCCAGCTCAGACTCTGGTCCCAGGCTCGTAGCACCGGAGCTGCCAGCACCACACCGGCCCGCAGGCAGGACAGGTGTGAGGAGTGAACCGGCTGTTTTCTGCTTCCTCCGCTCTCACAGTCTGGGAGGCGGGAGGCCGTGGTGGTTGCTCCACACCCATGTGGACTGCACCGGCACGCTTAAGCCCGGAACGTGCTCGCGGGGGAGATGGAGACCCTGAGGCTCCGAGGGGAGGGGTGCGCCCAGCGCACGGCCAGGGGAGGGGCCGGGTCTGCAGCGGTGCTGCCGGGGAGCGCGGGGTGGCCGTGTTTCTGAGGAAACGGGCAGGGGAGCCCTCCAAGTACCTGGTGTTCCTGAGCCGGGACACGCCCCCCTGCACCCGGCCCTCGATCTCCTCCGCCGAGTGCACGCTGAGCTCCAGGGCCACCTTGAGCTGGGACAGCTTCACCGCCATGTACACCGCGGGCAGCACCTTGAACCTCTCGGTCGGGTTCCGGGAAAACTCCACGAAGGCCCTGCTCCGCAAGGCAATGAAGCACGTCACCGCCCGGCCGGCCTGGCCCCGGGACGAGCGTCGCTGCCACGGGGGTCCCGTTTGGCTCGGCAGGGGCAGTGCCTCGCTGCAGGCTCCTGGGGGCAACCAGATGTGTGTCTCTCACATCGATGTCTCTGTCTCCCTCTCCCTCCCCTTCTCTCTAAGAGCCAATGGAAACATGCCCTCGGGGGAGGAGTAAAAAGTAAAAGTGAAGCTGCCCGGCACCTGGGAAGCAGCTGAGTGCACCAGCATCTCTCAGGGAGAGCTCCATCCCCCTCCCCGAGACGCAGCCACAACAGTGACAGGTCATTGCACCGACACCGGGGTCCGCCTGCACGGAATTCTCAGTCAAGACACATTCGTGTTCACGATGAGAACAGAAGGGCAGGTTCGGGCTTTCTGCTCTATTGTAAAATAAGCCGCAGGTAAGAGGAAAGCACACACGCACGGGGGTCCGGTGGCCTCCCCCCAGACACCAGGCTGCAGGGCACCTGCCGACACCTCCCTCCAAGTGCATGGGCTTGTGGATGTCAAATGCCCGGTCAACACAGTCCCAACTGCCACGGAGTGAGGGACGCATGCTGGAGGGCAGTGCGCCAGGGGCAGGCAACTCCTCGGGCCCTCAGGGGCGTGGGGGGCCCTCAGGGGCGTGGGGGGCCCTCAGGGGCGTGGGGGGCCCTCAGGGGCGTGGGGGGCCCTCAGGGGCGTGGGGGGCCCTCAGGGGAGGGGGGCCCTCAGGGGAGGGGGGGCTTCAGGGGAGTGGGGGGCCCTCAGGGGAGTGGGGGGCCCTCAGGGGAGGGGGGCCCTCAGGGGAGTGGGGGCCCTCAGGGGAGGGGGGCCCTCGGGAGTGGGGGGCCCTCAGGGGAGTGGGGGGCCCTCAGGGGCGTGGGGGCCCTCAGGGGAGGGGGGCCCTCAGGGGAGTGGGGACCCTCAGGGGCGTGGGGGGCCCTCAGGGGAGGGGGGCCCTCAGGGGAGGGGGGGCTTCAGGGGAGTGGGGGGCCCTCAGGGGAGTGGGGGGCCCTCAGGGGAGGGGGGCCCTCAGGGGAGTGGGGGCCCTCAGGGGAGGGGGGCCCTCGGGAGTGGGGGGCCCTCAGGGGAGTGGGGGGCCCTCAGGGGCGTGGGGGCCCTCAGGGGAGGGGGGCCCTCAGGGGAGTGGGGACCCTCAGGGGCGTGGGGGCCCTCAGGGGCGTGGGGGCCCTCAGGGGCGTGGGGGGCCCTCAGGGGCGTGGGGGGCCCTCAGGGGAGGGGGGGCCCTCAGGGGAGCGGGGGGCCCTCAGGGGAGGGGGGGCCCTCAGGGGAGCGGGGGGCTTCAGGGGAGCGGGGGCCCTCAGGGGAGCGGGGGGCCCTCAGGGGAGGGGGGCCTCAGGGGAGGGGGGGCCTCAGGGGAGGGGGAGCCTCAGGGGCGCGGGGGGCCTGCTCCAGCCCTTGCAGGTTTCCTCTGGGACCCACCCTCACTGTCCCGCCCGCAGCCCCTTCAGCCGCCCCCCCTGAAAGATGCTGACCACATGCACCTCCCTCCCACCCACGCGAAGGCCGACGGGAGTCCATGCCACGCGGTGCCAGCCTGGCTGTGCCCCATCGCTGCCCTCACTCACTTGGCGCCATCGCACACGATGGACTTGACCTGGCCGCACTGCCGGAAGAGGGACTGCAGCTGCTTGTGGTACAGGAAGCCGTAGGGCGGCGTGTGCTTCAGCTGCAACACACGGCCCTCAGAGCCCGGCCGCCGGAGCCCCACGGCCCTCAGAGCCCGGCCGCCGGGGCCCCACGGCCCTCAGAGCCCGGCCGCCGAGCCCCACGGCCCTCAGAGCCCGGCCGCCGTGCCCCACGGCCCTCAGAGCCCGGCCGCCGTGCCCCACGGCCCTCAGAGCCCGGCCGCCGTGCCCCACGGCCCTCAGAGCCCGGCCGCCGTGCCCCACGGCCCTCAGAGCCCGGCCGCCGGGACCCCACGGCCCTCAGGGCCCGGCCGCCGGGGCCCCACGGCCCTCAGGGCCCGGCCGCCGGAGCCCATGGCCCTCAGGGCCCGGCCGCCGAGCCCCACGGCCCTCAGAGCCCGGCCGCCGAGCCCCACGGCGGCCGGGGCCCCACGACGGCCGGAGCCCCACGGGGGCCGGAGCCCCACGGCGGCCGGGGCCCCACAGCGGCCGGGGCCCCACAGCGGCCGGGGCCCCACGGTGGCCGGAGCCCGGGGCCGCCTCACGTCCTGCTGCTGCCGCTGCCCCGACGCAGACTCCACGCCGTGCACCCAGCACTGGCCACTTAACCGTCTAAGTAGCCATCTTCCCACTAAGCCTCGTGGGAAGATGGCTACACAAAGGCTAACTCTGGCCTCAAACAGCCGGATGCCATACGGGGAGGCTGAGGTCGCTCGGCCTGGCCAAAGGCCAGCCTGCATCCCGGTCCCAACCGAGGGGCTGCAGGCTCTGTCCGGGGTGCTCCCAGCCCCCTCACCCGGCTGCGACCAGGTCCCGTGTACCCGGCCCTCCCCCGCTCCACACCACAGAGGCAGGTCAGGGTGCCCCTCAGACTCAGCACCGAGAGCGGGGATGACAAATCCCACTCAGGGGCCCCAGGCAGTGCCAAGGAGACGTGGTGCTCACGACGTGCGCAGCAGGAAGGCAGCTGGGGCTCCAGCAGGCATGGGGGGCAAGAGGTTGCCCACTCCTGGCGCCAGGTGGGGCTGAGGGAAGCTGGGGGAGGCCTGGCCCACCTACGGCCGTGCCTGCCCCTCCCTCCTGGGCGCTCGCCACCTCGCTGAGCACCGGCTCCCTGCGCGTCCTCACTCTGCCAAGGGCGACGGCAGGGTCACAGGAAGAGGGCAAGCCGCGTGGCCGCACACCAGGCTGCTTCTGCCGCCGATAGGTGCAGGACACCTGCTTCATGTGAGCCAAGCCGAGGGGACGCCACGCGCCTACACACGGAGCAGCCCACCCTCACCACGGCCCCACCGGCCGGCACTCCCCAGGGCTGTGAGGCCGGGGCGCAGGAGCAGGACGGCTGGGCTCCCGTTTGCAGGGCGCCCGAGACCAGGCGGACTCCTGGGACCAGAGGCTGGGCCAGCCGTGCTGGGAGGGAGCCCTGGGCCCCCCGTGCCGCTCTCCGGGAAGGCCTGCCCACCCACCACGATGGTAGTCTTGGGGTCCTTGCCGGCCAGCTCCCGCACCGCCATCTCCTCGTCGGGCTGCCCGAAGGTGAAGTAGTTGGGATAGAAGGCTCCGGCCAGCACCACCTGGGGAGAGACCGACTCCTGTGCAGCCGCAGCAGCTCACAGCGTCTCCTGTGCCCAGGACGCAGCGCTGACATGAGGGAGTCTGGTAAAAACCAGGCCCGCTTAGGCCCGGAGCGTAACAGACGCACTCGGCCGACCTGCTCCCGGGAGCGAGAGCACTTCTGGCGGAGGGTGAGAAGCGGGGAGCAGAGGGCGAAGCAGGCAGACGCCCCCTCCAGGCACCTCAGGGCTGCTGGGCTCGGCACCCCCCCAAGCCACACTGAGGTCCAGCAGCAGCCCAGCAGGCCCCGTGGAAAGTGCTCTGCGGGGCCCCTCAGTGACAACGCCCTGATCACACACCCCTTCCAGCGCCGCCCACGCTGACACCCAGGCGCACAGACGCCCCCGGGCCCCACCCAGGGCTGCGCCGCCTTCCGGGACCCTCCCACCCGCTCCTCAGAGGCCGCGGAGCTGCAAGGACGTGTCAGTGTGAGGGGCTGCACTTGCTGACGATGCCCAAAGCGGCCTGTTCTCCGGGAAGCTCAGTGCAGGCTCAGCCTGGGCAGTGAGTGCTGCCCACACCCTGGCAGTCCGAGCGGCCCAGGCACCAGCTGTGGAGGGCCAGCTGGGCAGCCCCGGGTTGGGAAGGGGCGGCGTCAGCGGCGGGCACACGCACCTGCAGGATGAACCGCTGCTTGTGTGTGAACTCCTGGTCCAGGGCCGGCCGCCGGGGGCCCGCGCTCATGCTGAACTGCGAGATCCTGCTCTTCAGCTCCTCGTACAGCTCCGCCACCTGCGCAGACGGCGGCACCGTCCCAGGCACGCCACGCAGACAGGGACACCGCGGGCCGGGAGCACTGGCCACCGGGAGGCGCGGCCGTGTCCCAGGTCTCCTGGGAGCTTATAATCAGGAGCAGGGATGCTCAGCAGGCTCAGACAGGACGTGCCGGACACTCCTTCCTACACATGGTGATCCCCACGCCACGCGCACACCCGGGAAACCACCGCAACGCACCACCGCCATCGCCAGGAGGTTCTGAAGAGCCAGTGCCCGTGACCAGCCCTTGCTTTTCATCGGAGCCCAAAACCTCTGCGTGACTGGCTGCTCCCGGGACGGAAACAGCCGCTCCGAACAGCCTCTGGCTGCGGAGCAGCGCGCGCAGCCCTCACCAGAACACGCTCCGGCGCCTGTGCGCTGGCCGTGCGAAGTCCCTGCCGAGCTGCCTCAGGAAGTCACAGAAAGCAAACCCCCACACACCACGCTGGAGACACACTGAGAGGACCTGGACAGACAGGCAGACAGAGCAGGGAGGGAAGCCTGGGCAGCAGGAAGGCCAAGCCCAGCGCACGCAGCATGTGCGTCTCCAGGTTCCTGAACTCCTTCAGTCACCTGCAACCTCTCTAATCAAAAATCAGTTTAAAACTAAGCGAGTCACTCACTCACCCGGCCCAAAGAGTGAACTCAGAAGCCAGCCACGAAACAGAAGCTCTAACCCACTTCCTCCCCTGGAGCCCAGCGCTCCTCAGGGGCCGGGACCAGCGCTGCCGGGCCCAGGACCGCCCCCGGCCGGCGCCGCCGCAGGAGCTCTGCGAAGGCAGCAGCAGCCACGGGCGTTAACAAGAAAGCGGAAATTAACCATCACCCCTCCCCTCCCCTGAAACCCACCCCGTAAATCCAAACCGTGAGGGCGTCCTCCAGGCCGGCGGCTGGAGCCCCAAGTGACAGCCTCGCCAGGGCGCTGAGGGGTTGGCGCTGTGTCCCCATCAAGGGCGTGTGCCTGGGTTGCAGGTCCGATCCCGGCCCTGGTCGCCGGGGTGCATGTCTGTCACGTGGTGGATGTCTCTCCCCCCTCCCCCCATTCCTCCCTCACTCCCTCTCTTTCCAAAAAACAATGTAAAAATGCCTCCAGCCAGGAGCCACAAAACCAAAAGCACACACAGTCCGCTCTCTGAGAGCCATGAGCAGGGAAGGCCGTGCCCTGGGCGGCCCGCCCGGCTCAGCAGGCTCCGTGTCCACAACACGCACGTCCCGGACTGCCGGCTCAGCCCCGAGCCCTCGGACCGACTGCCTCACGGGAGTCTGGTAGCTGAGGCCTGGACACAGCGCTTCAGGCTGCGTGTCCTCTGTGGGTGGAGGACCCGGGGTCCCGCCGTCACGGTGACTCTGGAGAGGCTGCTAAGTCGCTAGACAGCCACGTGGGCACCCACGCCCACCGAGCCCACCTAACCCCGCCCGGAAGACCCGGCAGCAGGACTTGGCCTTGGTGAACACGTCACTGCAGGGAGATCAATCGTGCCCCACGGCTCCTGAGCGCGCCGGGGCCTTGCTCCTGGTCCATGCTGGCACCCCCTGCGCCTGGGACCTCGCTGCCTCTATTCTGATCCTGTAGCTGTAGGAACCCCCAGCCACACGCACAGCAAACAGCTGGTCTGAGCTTTGTCCTCCTAGCCAATCACTGAGCCCAAGGGTGGCCATAGGGACCCTCTCCTCCCCCCAGCACACAATCTAATCAAGAAACAGGAGGACACAGGGACCCAGCGTCCGGAACGAGACAGGGGCCACTCCTCTGACAGGACGAGGACAACTACATGTAGCTGCTGTGTGTTAACGAACACGTGAAGTCACTGCAGGTTCCCTACATGTAGACCTCACCTCACGTAGACACGTTGCTACGTCACACACACCGACTCTCCTCAGGCTGGACACAGGATGTGCCTCTCGGGACACCACCACTGCCCCGGGTCCCACTTACCTCTCTGATCCTCTTGATCTGGATATAATTTAACCGTCCCCAGTCCAGTTCGTCCTGTAAACACAAAGCAGAGCCCTGGTGTCACCGCAGCCCGTCGTGGCTCCTGCAGCCACGCAGTTCCCCTGGCGGAGTTCTGACCACAGCAGAGCCGCCCGCCGAGCCTGGGAAGGAGCCCCCACAGAGCTGGGCGCGGGAGGGGGTGCGGGAGGGGGCTGAGCTCGGCAGTGACACACACACCTGCCCACAGGCCTGAGCGCACAGCCCAGAACCAAACCCTGCCGGGAAGGGGCGGCGCTAGCAGGCCGGTTCTAGGCCCGCTCTCTCAGAATAGCCAAGGACAGGCCTCGGTTCTGAGTGGACCGGGTCCGCTGCATCCCCACTGGTACCGAGCACCCAGGGAGAGGCCCCGGACACTCCGAGGTCACACTGCGCAGGCAGGACGCCGGGCTGTGCGGCCTGCATCAGCAGGAGTGCAGGGCCAGGCCCAGGCTCTGTCTCTCACAGCGCCCCGGGCCCCAGCACCGGGAGCCCTACCTTTGGGTGCCGCAGCTCCCCTCTCTGCCGGCAGGACTGCCAGGTCTGAAAGGAAAGGAACCCGAGTGTCAAAATGCTTCACTGACGACTCCAATTGTCTACGTTCATCTTCACCCAGTTGGACCAGAGAAAGTTTACACATTTTTCAATCAATTTCAGAACTTAGACTCCCACCACCATCCACTTCCTCCAACATTTTATTTTTTTAATGTATTTTTATTGATTTCAGAGAGAGGGGAAGGAAGAGGAAAGGAGGGAAAGAGGGAAGGAGGGAGGGAGGGAGGGAGAGAGAGAGAGAGAAACATCAATGACGAGAGGCAAGTTGATCAGCTGCCTCCTGCTGATCCTAGTTCATAGGTCTCGGCTCCACACCCGGAGCACGCCGGCCGGGCCAGAGAACTTACTTTAAATGCCTCGACCAGGGCGATGCAGTCGCTCTTACTATTGCCAGAGAAATACACCTTGTTCCTGCAACGAACAGCACGCAAGGTCACCGGTGCCAGCAGCACCACGCGGCCGCTCCAAACAGGAAGGCTGCCTACCTGTACCCGTCCAGGTGCTGCCGGAAGGGCATGGCGAAGAAGTTCTTCAGAGACAGCGCCGCCGCTGGAGGAAAACGCAGGCCGTCAGGAGGACACGCTCCCGGGGACAGGCGGGGGGGGGGGGGGGGGGGCCCTCACTCACCGATGACCAGGCACTCGTCCAGGCAGCCGAACACGTGGCCCAGCACGATGAGCTTGCCGAGCTGCGCGTTGACGGGCAGCTGGGCCAGCACGCGGCCCAGGAAGGTCAGCTCGCCGTCGTGCGGGTTCTCGTCCTCCCTCTGCCCGCTGATGGCCAGCGCGCCCACCTGGGGACAGAGGAGCGTGAGCCAGCCCCGACGGGCACGCTCCTCACGGCAGCAGGTCTGGTGGGCAAAGGCTCGGAGAGGCCGCGCCCACCATGGGAGACGGTGCTGCCAGCACACGGACAGCCCGGCCTGGAGCTCAGAGCACTCCTGCCATTTCAGAGAGGGGGTGGCGCCTGTGTACCTCACGTGGCAGGCTGCACTGCACATGCGCGGCACGCTGGCCGCCCCCAGCAAAGCATGTGAACTGCGTGCAGACCGCCTTCCTCCACTCAGCATGTCCACAGGAAACCCGGATGTTAAATGAAGGCGAAATGCCAGAGGCACCACCGGCTTAGAGGGCGGAGCCCCAACAAAGAACAAGAATGGGGTGCCTGGGCCCGGGCCCAGGGTGCAGGCCCAAGGGCATAGCTGAGGGTGGAGTCAGAGCAGGACCTGACTTGGGTTCTTGACTGGACGGAATTGGAAATCAGACCCCAATGAATGGGCCAAATCAAAGGTTTCTCTCCCTGCTCCCTGTTCTGCCTTCAGCCTGCTTCCTGAGGCAGAGCCCTCAGGACCTGAATGGTCACCAGGACCCAGAGCCATGGGGGGGGCAGCTGGAGTGGAGGGTGCGCAGGCCGTGGAGAGCAGCCGGCTGCCCCACAGATCGGGGTTCAGGCCGCAGCCTGCAGACCGAGCCGCACAGCCTCCCAACGTGAACCCCTCCGGGCGGCAGTGACTCTCAGGGCGTGTGAAGACAGAGGAGTGAGCTCAGTGGTCACCGCTCCTCATGGCAGAGCTCCCGGCCCTGGGAGGCGATGGTGCCAGGTGCGGGAGGGAAGCGATGCGGTCCTGCCAGGAAGACACCCGCCAGGCTCACACACAGTCTGGGGCGAAGTCAGCGCTCCGTCACCGCACGGGCTTTCCAGCAGCTGCTGACCACTCCTGGCCGAACGCCTACGCCGCCGCAGCACGAGGCCGCTCCCCGGCGAGCAGCCTACCTCCTTCAGCAGCAGGATGGTGCGCTCGATGTCGCTGAGGCTCGGCGGGGACAGGGCCGTGGCCAGCAGAGCCCTGGGCTCCCCCATGTCCAGCAGCTTCACCTTCAGGATGGTGCTGCCTAAGGGACAGCGCTGAGAGGACAGCTGCACTCAGTGTGGTCCCGGAACCAAGTAAGTTCCCTCCGGGGTGGGCTGGGACGGGGAGGGAGGCAAAGGGGGGAAAGACACAGAGAAAACGAGAGAGCGAGCAGGTAGGGGAAGATGGGGGGGGACAGAGCACACGGCCCGCCATGCTGCCTCACTGATGGGGGGAGCCCGCAGGGCACCCACTCAACAGTGAGGAGTTTTACAGAGCCCAAGTCACAGCTCAGAGCAGGCCGCCAGTGGGGTCTGAGGTCCGAAAGGCTGGCGGCCGCTGACCTGATGTCCCGTAAAGTGTCTGTAGGAAGGGACCCGGCTGCTGGCCCGCGCATTACCAGCATCTCCGGGATGACGTGGTCGGGGATGGCGTTGTCCCAGAAATCCCTGTGCACCAGGCGGTAGCAGTAGCCTTTCGACACGCGCCCAGCTCGGCCTGCACGGGAGACATTCAGAGGCCGCATGCATCGGTCCCGTCATCAACAGGTGCTCAGAATGACCCCTGACCCCTGACCCTGAGAGGACCCGTCTCTAGCAGACAGGCCGGAGAGCCCTGGGCGGCGGCGGTGCTGGGCAGTCCTGCGCTGGCCCCGCCTGGGACCCGCTGTGAGGCCGGGCCCTAAAGCAGCAGCACACTCAGGGCCATGCCTCCTGCTGGGCGTGGCGCTGGCCAGAGAGGCCCTGAGCCAGCGGCGCGGGTCCCCCCAGAACGGCCTCGCCAGAGGGAAGGTGCATGCAGGAGGCGCCACCTTGTTCTCCAAGTCCTGCCTCCCCCTCGAGGCTTCCCCACCCCGAGCTTTTGGTAGTGAACGAGCGAGTCCACGTGGAGCTTGTGACGGGGACGGGGGGGGGGGGGGGGCGCCACCGAACAGCTGTACTGCTGAGGGTGTACCCCAAACCATAACTCTCCCAAGGAGGAGGGTCGCTGCCTGCATCGATGCCCAGAAGGGGCAGCGGGCAGGTGCTCCTTCCCGGGCACACAGCCACATGACGGTGAGTCGGCCCTGCCGCCTGGCACCCTGTCCTTCCCCAGGAGTTCCTGTCCCGCCCCCACCCCCATGCCATCTGCCAACGACAAGACTTTCTGAGCAGACAAATAGCAGAAACAGAGACACCTCCTGGAACCAATCAGTGAGGCCAGCAAAGCCACTGGCCACGTGATGGGCAAGGTCAGCGGCGCCTCGTACAGCACTGAGCATGTGGCCACCAGTGCAACCAGGCCTCAAGACCCTCCCAGCACAGGTAGCATCTGCCACATGGGCACTGCCTGCACCAAACCGACTAGAGGGTCCAGGGTTCGGGCAGAGCCTGAGCCGGCCCGTGGCGGGGGGGGGGGGGGGGGGGGGGGGAGCTGAGCGAGAGCAGGAAGCACAGCTCTGAGGCGGAGGCGCGGCCCCTCACCTTTCCTCTGGTTACAGCTGGTCTTGGAGGCCCAGCTCAGGCGCAGGCTCTGGTAATTCGTGTCTTCGTCACAGACCAGAGTCCTCGTCAAGCAGAAGTCTATGACTGCACCGAGAGGGGGTGTGAGGAGGGGCAGCGAGGGACTGCCGATCGCAGGCCGAGGGCGGAGCTGGGGCGGCCTGCGGGGGCAGGTCGCTCCCACCTCCCAGGATCGGGTGTTGGGGCAGAAAGGACAGGTCCCTGCAGCCTGGCTGTCACAGGAGGCAGGGGGCCGCCGGCCTTCACTCCATCTGCCCAGGCCCAGCCCTGCAGTGACAGCTTCCCCACACCCACAGCCGAGTGGCACCCACCTCCTGGTCACCAGCTGCAGGGCCCAGAGACCCTGTGCCTCCATCCTGTTTCAGGGCGCCCGCTCCCTCCTCCCCCCCTGAGGTCGCCTGCCCAGGGGTGCACCGCGCCTCTCCCTCAGCCCTGTCCCACCGAGAGCCCGCTGGGCTCCTGCAGGGCTCATCTCACCTGCATCTGCTCCCGCCACACCCCTCCCCCTCCTCCACCCGCAGGGTCTCCTGAGAACAGAGACCCGTTTCCTGCTCTCTCCCCCCAGCACACACACACACAGCCCACCCACCGTCCGTCTGTCCCGGCCGCACCCTTCCTGCTGCTCCTCAGGCCGTCCTGGCCAGACCCCCTCCCCGCCGGCCGCTGCCCGCCCTCCTCAGAGCCCCACCGGCGGGGTCTCACCGTACTTGACGTCCGGCACGGTGACGGAGCTCTCGGCGATGTTGGTGGACAGGATGATCTGCGAACAGCAAGGAGCCAGGTTCTCCCGCCCAGAATGACCAGGTTAACAGGCTCAAACTCAGACAGCGGCTACAGTCCCTGACACTGGGCTGCGCTCTCTGAAAGGCGCCATCTCCTCCCTCCCCACCGCACACTGACCTGGGCCTGGGCCCTCTCCCTCCCCCACCGCACACTGGCCTGGGCCCTCTCCCCCCTCCCCCACCGCACACTGACCCGGGCCTGGGCCATCCCTCCTCCCCCACCCCACACTGACCCGGGCCTGGGCCATCCCCCCTCCCCCACCGCACACTGACCCGGGCCGGGGCCCTCTCCCCCCTCCCCCACCGCACACTGACCCGGGCCTGGGCCATCCCCCCTCCCCCACCGCACACTGACCCGGGCCCGGGCCATCTCTCTCCCCCACCGCACACTGACCCGGGCCTGGGCCATCCCCCCTCCCCCACTGCACACTGACCCCGGCCTGGGCCATCTCCCCTCCCCCACCGCACACTGACCCGGGCCTGGGCCATCCCCCCTCCCCCACCGCACACTGACCCCGGCCTGGGCCATCCCCCCTCCCCCACCGCACACTGACCCGGGCCTGGGCCCTCTCCCCCCTCCCCCACCGCACACTGACCCGGGCCTGGGCCCTCCCCCCTCCCCCACCGCACACTGACCCAGGCCTGGGCCCTCTCCCCCCTCCCAACCGCACACTGACCCGGGCCTGGGCCCTCTCCCCCCTCCCCCACCGCACACTGACCCGGGCCTGGGCCGGGAGGAGATGTCAGAGTCCTGTGGCCACCAGCTGAGCCCGCCTTGAACCCCAGCTCCCTCCGCCGTGTGGGGCTCAGGCAGCTCTGCCTGCTTTTCCCATGGGGGAAAGGAGAGGATGGCACCACCCCTCACGGCTGTGGGGCAGACCGGCCAGTTAACCGGGTTAACGGAGCTGGTGCTGTGAGAGCTCGGGCCGCCAGGAGCCAGCAGGGAGCGGCCGTGTCCTGGTGCGGCGCCCTCTGCGGGACACCCGCCTGCACAGCCGGAGGCACCCGTCCCCCTAACTCGCCTGCCTGCCGCGCTGCCCCGGCCGTTACTGACTGGGCCACGCAGGCTTGGGCAGGGGTGTGTTCATCGCACCACTGTGGGCGAGGCCACGCCCGGCCCCGTTCTGAACCCTACGCCGCAGCACAGCACCTGCTCCTCCCCAGGGTCACTTCAGGGCAGAGCCGGGCCCAGGGAAGGGCTGTGCAGCAGCGGCCCCGGGCTCCAGCGAGGCCTGCTGCCCTGGAGGCTGACCGCCCCTCGCGCAGGCACAGGCTGCGCTCACCGACGTCGCCCGAGCAGTGCCAGGGACACGGGCAGTCTGCGCTCTGAGACAGGACAGAGGAAATGACACCCTGGCACACTGAGCGGAGGCCAGACCAGACGCCCAGCACAGGGTGCAGTGCCCTGCGGCCCCCGCGCCCACCTTTCTGTAGCCGGGCACGGGGCTCAGGAACACGTTGTTCTGCTCCTCCAGGGTCACGCTCGAGTGCAGGGGGTAGACCTGCAGCCTGGGGGGGACACGTGTGAGCACAGTGAGGGCGCACAGCAGTGCTGACCGCGCAGGCGCTCGGCTGGTCACTGCAGGCAGAAGCTGGCGCACTCATGAGGTGAGCGGTCACTGACCCACCTCTTCTGGCTCATGTTGGTGAGGAGCTCGTGCATGTAGTTTATCTCGCTCAGACCTGGGCGTGCAGAGGGGAGGCAAGGAAGCAGATGTGCATTTGTGGCGAAAGCACACCTCCGTCAAAGCGGGCCCTCCCCACCCACTGTGCCTCCTCCGGCCCCCACCGGGCATGAGCGCAGCAAGTGGAAACGCCCCCCCCGTACCCCCAGCAGTGCTGTACGCTTCGCCCCCCTCTCATTCCCTAACTTCCTACAACGAGCATGAACACTTTCACAGCCACAAAGCAGTGGTTCAAAAGTATTAAATGTTATCACTCTGAAACGTCATTAACATGAAATAGTGAAGGAGGCCTGGCCAGTGTGGCTCAGCGGTTGGGCATCACCCCATGGATGGAGAGGTCACAATTCAATTCCAAGTCAGGACACAGGCCTGGGTTGTGTGCTCGGCCCCCAGTGGGGGGCGTGCAGGAGGCAGCCAATGAATGATTCTCTCTCATCTCCCTTCCTCTCCCTAAAACTATTTTTTAAAACACTCAGAGGGAGAGACAGGACACCTCTCCTGGCACGCAGTCCCGGCCGAAGGCTGGCTCACCTGGCAGGAACACCAGCACGCTGCCCCGCTCCCACGCGAGCTGGGCGCCCGCCCAGGCCTTGTTCCTGTAAAACGGAAGGCGCCACGTTAACCAGCGAGGACACGTGCCGCTCCGAGCCCCGCCGTCCTGCCGCGCCCGGTGCCCACAGCCTCGCCAGCCACGCGGGCGCCGTTCTCCACAGAGGAAACGCAAGGTCCCAGGCCGCAGCTCCCCTTGTTCTCCCCGTAAACACTGTCTGTCCACGTTTCCTTGAGTTTGGTTGAAATCCGCCCTCAAACCTAAAACCCTGAACACGAACTCGATGCCTGGCGGCAGCACAGCTGGTTGGCCGGTCATCCCGGCGCGCCCATGTTACCGAGCCGATCCCGCACGGGCACATACAGGAGTCAGTGAGTGCAGAACAACATCGGCGTTCCTCCCCGGCCCGCCTCTCGCTCTAAAACCAGTAGAGGTACCTTTAGGATAAACTCTAAGGGTCCTCACTGTCATCAGGAAGCCTTCTACAGGACAAGATCTCAAACTGCGCCCTTGCCGCCCCACCCAGCCCGTCACTGGATGACCTGGTGGCAGTGAGAACCTGCCCTGCAGGCCGGGCAGCCCTCTGTGCCCAGCTGGGGCTTTGAGAAGATCACAGCACTGACCCCTGCTCTGCCAGCTGGTGCCCAAAGCAAGGAAATGCCACGTGTCAAACGATGCAGCCCCAACTCACAAAGGTCCCGTGGCCAAGTTGTGGACAACTGACCATCGAAAAAGGAAACTGACTGTGATTCACTTCAATCAATCCATCCAAGTCCCAAGAGAATGAGAAGACAGGGCACCGACCGAGCAGGAAAGAGCCCGTGGGCAGGAGGCCGCCGCGCAGGACAGAGGACCCGAGGGCGGACAGCCCGTGGGCAGCAGCGCCCACACTCAGACTCCGCGAGTCCAACGGGGGAGGCGGCGGCGAGGAGGGAGCCCCGGCTCCAGCCTGCACGGCCCCAGTGGCGCCACGGCTGCATGTCAGCCCGACCAGAAAGCAGGCTTCCCTGCGGGAGCAGGCAGGCCAGAGGCGACTCAGCATGAGATGCCGACAAGACCAGACCACCACCGAGTGCAGGAAGGACAATGAAAACGAGTGCATTCAATGCGTGTAAGTTCCATCTCAATCAAGTTCAATAACAATTCAGGGAAAGCAAGAATATGGGGAGAAATAATAGCAACCTAACTTTTACATCTAACGGCTATTCCAAGAAGGAGAATGACATAAAGACATTTTTTAGCTAAATAAAAACTAAGCTACCCAGCCAGGGCTATCAACAGACATCTTTTTAAAAAATTATTTAATGACTTTGGAGAGGAAGGGGGAGAGGGTGATCTGTTGTTCTATTTACACATTCGTTGGTTGATTCTTTTTTTTTCCCTAATATATTTTATTGATTTTTTACAGAGAGGAAGAGAGAGGGATAGAGAGTTAGAAACATCGAAGAGAATCATCAATCAGCTGTCTCTTGCACACCCCCTACTGGGGATGTGCCCACAACTAAGGTACATGCCCTTGACTGGAATCGAACCCGGGACCTTTCAGTCCACAGGCCAATGCTCTATCCACTGAGCCAAACCGGTTTCGGCGTGGTTGATTCTTTTAAAAAAATATATAAATTGATTTCAGATAGGGAGGGAGAGGGAGAGAGAGAAACATCAGTGATGAGAGAGAATCCTTGATCGGCTGTCTTCTTCACGAGCCCACACCTGGGCACGTGCCCAATCAGAAATCACACCGTGACCTCCTGGTTCATAGGTCGACCACTGAGCCCCGCCCGCCGGGCATTGGTTGGTTCTTGCATGTGCCTGGCCAGAGCTCAAACCTGAGGCCTCTGTGCGTCAGAACAACACTAACCAACTGAGTTCCCAGCAGGCTCCAGCGGACTGTCCGGCAACGTGTGAGGGGCTGCTGCGGGGAGATGAGGACGACCCGAGGAGAGGCTGGGCGCAGGAGAGGAAGGGGAGTAATGAAATGACACCCACTGGATGACTCTAAGCACAATGGTGGGAAGTGTAATGACACTGGCAGGAATTTTAAAAACAGCTAACCCGGCGCTCAGCGGCACAGGCTGTCAGTGACTGGGCGGCCCCTCGCCAAGGGCCTCCAGGAGGGGCCAGGACCGTGACTGCCCCCCAGCCTGTCTCCCTTTCACAGCCGGTGACGGCCAGAGGGGCATGCACGCAGGGGCGGGGGTCTCGCAGGCCCACAGGGTCAGTGCCCAGCTGCTCCGATGCACCGTGTATGCGCACTCAGCGCCGTGAGCAGCGAAGGTCCCGGATGCAGCACCTGCTGCCAAACAACACGCTCTGAGCACCACGAGCGCCCAAGGGTGCTCCTCGGGGAAAAGGTCCCGGTCCAGCGAGTGAACGTGGGCGCGGAGCCTCGGCGCGGACCCCCGCTGAGAGGGAGCGATGGCGGGGCGCCGGGCTGCGGTCCTGGCCGTCACTGCCTGGCTGGAAGCCAGGGTCGGCGTGGTTCTAACGTCAGGGGAAGTGGCCCGTGGAAACCTCACAAGACGCTGAGCTCATTCTAACTGTGAGAGGGACGACAAAGTCTCCACATCGCATCCTAACAGACACACAGAGCCGCGGGCGAGGGGCCGCCGCGGGGGCCTCCTACCCGCTCTCCTTCATGTCCGTGTCGTCGAACATCTGGATCAGGGAGATGGCGACCTCATACATGTCCTTCGTGATCATCGGCTCCTCCAGGACGTGGGGGGACAGCTGGAAGCAGGAGGAACCAAGGGGTCAGAGGGCATCGGGCTGGGCTGCGGCTCCCCGAGGCGAGGCCTGCGTACCCTGCCGTGCGGCACGTGCCCCAGGTCGCCGAGGTAGAACTCGTCGATGGCGTGCGGCTGTCCGGCCACCTCGAACACGCAGGCCGGGTTCACCTTGTTCTGGACGGGCACCGCGAAGTAGTCGGCGAACTCCCTGCAGTTGATGGTGGCCGACATCAGGATGACCTGCGGCGGGCAGACAGACACACACGGGGGGCAGCTGAGGGGGGCGGCCGGGAGGGGGCCCGCACCCGGGCCGCTGCTCCATGCCTTCCGAGATGCCAACAGCGCGGACCCGACTTCTCGTGGGGGCGATGGCTGCCAGCCTTCCCCTTCTCTTCACACCCGTGGGTGGAAGCTACGAGGGCCCAATGGCACGGCCCCGGCCCCCAAAGGAGCCTCTGCTCAGAAACCACTGGAAGCGGGAGGGCCTGCAGGTGCTCCAGGAGGAGGTGCAGCAGCGAGGGGACACGGACGGGACGGCTGGGCACGGGGCAGCCACCCACAGTGCGGACACAGGACTCGGTGCTGCCCAAGGGAAGCGAGGTGTGACGCCCTCACAGAACAGCGCTCCCCGGGGCGGCCCCTCCGCCCGTCTCCCGCGGCAGGAGCCTGTGGTGCAGCGTGGCGGGAAAGGAACGCAGCGTTCGGTACGGCTGCGTCGTGAGCAGACCTGTGCTCCCCGCTGTGGTGCTCCGCACAAACGGTGGCACCACACCGAGCAGAACGCGTGGAGGGACGCTCCGAGGAGCCCTGGATCAAACCTGAGGCCCAGTCTGCCCAGGGCCCGCGGTGCAGGCCGCGCTGCCCGGGCCCCACAGGCAGTGGAAGGCCGTCTGCCGGCGCTGGGCACCGTCTCCTTTTAAAAAGTAACAGGAAAGGAATTTTCGAGTTTCAGAAACTGCCTGCAAAGCCTCCTGGCACTTGAATTCTACTTTTGGCCCAGCTGCACCCCATATCGAGGCCCCGCATCTAGAAAACACTCTGCTCCACGTTTCCTAATAAAACAGGACGGTGCTGAACAGACGGCCAGCTCCTGCGTCCTACACAGCGGGCAGCTCCCGCCACAGGCAGCAGGGAGATTTGGAAAGATCAGGCACCAACTCTCCTGACTACTGAAAGCTAAAAAAAAAGTAACTACCTTAGAGCCAGAGATTGGTCATGACAATGACCATCATAAATGTCCGGTCTGTCTAACCACCTTTAAATCGTCTTTACGTCGGAATCCCAGGAGGAGAGCACGCGTTCAGTCACTCAAGCGTAATCCCAGGAGGAGAGCACGCGTTCAGTCACTCAAGGGTTGCACGTGGGTCCCGAGGACCAGGTGAGCGCGCCCTCGTGGGGAGAGGAGGGATTTCCGCTACGCGAGTAGCTGAGGCACCTGGAGACCAGCCCGGCCCAACTCCGAGTGCCCGTCTCCAGCAGGGGCCCGTCGCAGCCCTCGCCAATGACAGAGCCCATTCTGTCCCCCTCTACGCCTCCCCTTCTGCTCAGAGGGCGGACACACTGACCCAGGGACGTCAGGTGCCGCCTCACGTGGGTCTCTAGACGCCGCGCATCGGACTGGGCTCGGCCTCCCCTGCACTTTGGTGCCATTCTCAGAGCAGCGGCTGCAGCCGCATGCACACGCCTGCACATGCGTGCTTCCCACGAAGGCGGGGCTCCACCACCCACGTCCCATCATGTCAGCCCCTCAGGGCCTCCCTCCGGCTGCGGTGTCACCACCTCAGGCAGCACGGGCCCAGAGCCGAGCCCACTGCCCTCAGAGCGGGCCTCTCGCGGCCGGCCGGCCAGGCCTCCGCACTGCCCACGCAGGACGGGTAAGGTCCCTGTCCCTGTCAAAGGAAGGGAAGCAAAGCTACACCGTCAACCTCAGTCCCGCGTCCTCCTGTTCCCAAGGTCGCTCACCTTCACGAAGCGGGAGTTGGTTCTCAGCAGCTTGCGGACCACCAGCAGCAGGAAGTCCATCTCCTCGGTGCGCTCGTGCACCTGCGAAGGACCAAGGGCAGCCCGGCGCTGAGTGACGGGAGGGGCCGGCAGGGGCAGCGGCGCTGCTGGGTCAGTCCCTGCTGAGGGGGAGCCCCGGGCATTTGGGTAGAGTGATGGTCAGCATCCTTGGCCCTGCCCATTCAATACCAACAGGGCCCAGACCCGTTACAACCAACCCCACCTGGTCCCAGCACGGAGAACCAGGGGCCACGCCCGCGCCTCTGCAGGTCACACATTAACTGCTGCTCAGTGGTGAGTGCGGGGGCAGCGGCCGGCAGCAGTGCCCGTCTGACGGGATGTGTGCTGCGGCCCGGGCACTGCAGGCCTGAGACGGGAGGCCGGCCCTGAGGAAGGCGCGGCAGGAGAGCTGCAGAGCGCTGGCCGCGGCTGCTTCGTGGCCCTCCTCACGCAGGGCCTTCCTGGCCGAGCCCACAGGCCAAGCCACTCTGGCCTGTCCCCTCCTCCCCCCCGCCCCCCGGGCACCAGCCAACAGCCAAGGGACAGGACCCGGGGCTCCATCAGAACAGGGGGAAGCTGCTGAGGGGCATTTCTCTGCCACGTGGAGCCAGAGCTGCTCGGGCAAAAGCCAGTCTCCCCAGGTGGCACCTCCTGGAGCCCGCGGCGCTGCGTGGGGAAGGAGCAGTGAGGACAGAGCAGCCGCCGAACGGCGTCACGCTCAGTGACAGCTGGGAACCTACCAACGCCCAGCAGCCCGCATGGCGCCCCAGACCCAGGGCACGGCCTCCGCACTTCACCGTCTCCCGCTGGAGGAACAGGGAGCTGCTCCCCACGGAACCCCTGCTCCCCACCGACCCTGCCTCTCCCGTCTCCGGGCTGGCCCATGGCCCCCTGCACAGGCGCCAGGCCGCCGCACCGGCTCCGTGAACCGAGACCCAGCGGAGACGGGAGACAGCGAGGGAGCACACGCACCTCGTCGATGAAGATGTGCGTGAAGGCCACCAGGCTCTTGGCGCTGACCACCTTCTGCAGCAGCACCCCGGTGGTCATGTACATCAGCCTGGTGTCCTCCGTGGCCACCTTCTCCAGCCCCACCTGGGCGGCACGGAGGGCGAAGGGAAAGTGTTCAGGTTTAAGCGGCTGCATTTAACTCCAAAGCATCCGTTTTATTGGGGGTCACACCAATTTTACATTAAGACAATCACACATAAAAACATCTACACACAAGAATATAATTAAAAGGTGAAAGTATAAAAGCCATAAGTTGGATTTTTTTTCCTATTAAACTGGAAAAAAGTTAAAGTTATTTTCAAGAAATTTAGTTCCACTCTTTTTTAAATTATGCCGCAGTTCTACTCTACGAGCAACTGGACTCGTTTTTAAAGTACCTTCTAATTGATTTTTTACAGAGGAAGGGAGAGGGAGAGTTAGAAACATCGATGAGAGAGAAACATTGATCAGCTGCCTCCTGCACACCCCCTACTGAGGATGTGCCCACAACCAAGGCACATGCCCTTGACCAGGATCGAACCCGGGACCTTTCAGTCCGCAGGCTGACACTCTATCCACTGAGCCAAACCGATTAGGGCTGGACTCGTGTTAATCCCAGCAGGAAACCGTCTGCTCGGACGTCGGCTCTCGTCCTCCGGGCCAACCCACCTGGTAGCCCACCAGGCCGCCCAGCGTCCAGGCGCGCTCCCGGCTGATCCAGCGGGCCATGCTGCTGGCCCCGATCTTGCGCGGCTGGGTGACGGCGATGTGGCAGTAGGCGCCGCGCTGCAGGCAGTGGTCCAGCACGTACTGCGGCAGCTGCGTGCTCTTGCCGCTGCCCGTGGCACCGTGGATGATCACCACAGAGTTGCTTTCTATCAGAGAGAGAACCTGCAAGCGGAAAAGCTCTCTCAGCATTCCCGCAGCGAACGGGTCTGAGGTCACCTCAGAACCAGCGTTTCTCCGGAGAAAGCTTTGGGAAGACCTTCCTTCCCCCGTGAGTTACGGAACCGCCACCCGGCATCACTGAGGAGCAGAAGGCTAACGGGTGCCACATGTCAACAGCGTGTCCTCCAGGCCGGCAGCTGCCTCTACAGAGACCAGGCCAATCCCCTCTGCTTCCCAGCTCTTCATCCAGAAGACCGAACGTCAAACTGGTTTCTACAGCTCTTGCTAAGTCTAAGTTTCAATTATTCTTAAGTTTTTAAGTAATTCTACTGAGAAACATGGAATTCTAGTAAAGAAAACATGGAAACACAGCTGTGGCTACATCCAAGTGGCTTGAAAAGGCCACTTAAAACTCCTCAGACACCTGTTTAAGCAGCTTCACTGCCCATTTACAGGGGCCAGGGGCATCTTCACCCCCCCTCCCCCATCCCTGCGCCACCTGGGCTGTGTAAGCGAGGGCCGGGGCAGGGAGCACACTCAGGTGAACACTGGCCTCTAAAACCAGCAAAGTGCGTCTGCTCCATCAATGTGTGTGCCTCCATCCAAAGCAAAAATGAAACTCCACCAGGGCCTGGTCGTCGGTGTCTCTGTGGCCGCTGCTCCCAGCACACACGGCAGGAGAGGCAGTGAGCGGCCCTCCTGGGGTTCGGTGGCTTGTGCTGCTCCGGAGGAAGATGAGGCACAGCCACGTGGGAGACCAGCGCGGACGCCGAGCAAATGAAGCCCAGCCCAGGAAGGCCCGCCCGGCGCTCGCCCGGGTCACGCCAACACCCCTGCTGGCTCCTCTGCTCAGAGCCGCACACGCGGGCACTCGCCTGCCCCTCGAGCCTCAGGCTGTCCACCCAAGGGCTGGGCCCGGCACCTGTTCACACCACAAAACTCACCAGGACAGAACTCTTACCTCCTCCCTGCACCGGTTTATGGGCAGGTCTGGGTAGGTGTACGTTGTCTCTGGGACGCACGTGACAGGGCTGGCTTTAGCCACAGGGGGCCGCGGACCTGGATGCAGACAAAATGAGCACAAGGCTACTTCTCATCTGGACAGAGACCAGGCCGCCCTCGCTGGTTTGCTCAGCAGGTAGCGTGCCGGCCTGCGGACCCGAGGCCCGGGTTCGATTCCGGCCACAGGCTTGTACTACGGTTGCAGGCTCCTGGTCAGGGCATGGGCAGGAGGCAACCAACCAATTGATGTGTTTCTCTCACATGGATGTTTGTCTTTCCCTCTCTCTCTCCCACTCTCCCTAAAAATAGATGGGAAAATATCCTCGGGTGAGGATTTAAAAAAGACAAGGCAAACAACCCCATGTTATTTCTAATCTGCACGTACACCACATTCACACACACACACACACACACACACACACACACGCACACACACACCATGCTCTACAGGCCACACTGAGGGTAATTCAGTAAAGCCCCTGGTCCCCACTCCGCATCACGCGTCTGAGTGGGGCCGGCCCTCCCGTCAAAGACAGGAGACCTGCAGGCAGAGTGCCCGTTGCTGGGCAATGGGGCTAAAGGGAGCACAGACACAGCTCATTGCGGCGGCCGCAGAAGGCACGGTGAGTGCTCCAGGTCGCTGCTTCCTCCTGAGCAGCTGGGAGCGGGGAGGCACGGCGCCCAGGGGGCTGTCCCGCTGGCAGACACGTGACGGGCACCCCCCCTCGCCGCACTCCTGGCGTTCCTCCCGTAACTCTGGACCCTGACCCCCCTTGGCAAACTGACACTGAAATCCATGGCAGAGGGGAGGGAGGGCATGTATGGGAGTGGGGGGGAGGGGTTGGTAAGGTAAGTACACACGTAATACCTTAATTTAAAAAATGAGGGGAAAAAAGAAATAAAAGAAATCCATGGCAGAGGAACTCTCACGGGAATCATTTACTTCCCAGTTAAACTCGGCCCAGGCGCCGTCCCGCCCCCGCCGTCCGCCCGGCCTGCCGTCCTCTCCGCCAGCCCTGTCCTCTACCCCAGCGTCCCTCCCTCCACCTCCTGGTCCCCTCCATCTGTCCATCCGACACGCGTGCACAAGCTCTCCTTGCTCTCTGCGTAGGTGGCTTCTGAGCTGCTGGAAGGGGGGTGGGGGGGCCCGTTTGCCTGTGTGTGCATCAGGAGGGGCACTTGTCCTGAGCTTGAAAGGAGAAGAGTCCGAGTTGTCAGGCCTCTCCGCGCCAAAGCAGCTGCCTCTGGGCCAGCAGAGGCACTGGCTCCGGGCTGCCGGCAGCCTCCCTCCTGGCCTCCCTGCTCTCCCTCCACAGCTCCTCTGCTGACACACACCAGTGCTGCCCCCTGCCTCCCAGCTGGCGAGCCCCCGCCAGAGCACTCTCAGCTAAAGTCCTTAAAGCCGCCCTGGCTGGCTGCTCAGTGGTTAGAGCATTGGCTGTGACAAAGTCCGGTCAAGGGCATGTATCTAGGCTGCGCTCGATCCGTGACCCCTATTTGAGGCACGTGCAGGAGGCAACCAATCAAGCAAGCAGCATGGATTCTTTATTGACCAAAAGGCTACATTTCTTAGGCTTTTAAGAAGTTAATGTTTTAAGAGACCTGATTTGGGATGGTAAACACACCATGCACTATGCAGGTGATGTTTCTGGAACTGTACACTGAAACCCATATAATTTTATTAACCATCATCCCCAACAATTCAATTAAAAAAGAGAAGCAGCCGAAACTGGTTTGGCTCAATGGATAGAGCGTTGGCTTGGGGACTGAAGGGTCCCGGGTTCAATTCCGGTCAAGGGCATGTACCTTGGTTGCGGGCACATCCCCAGTGCCCGCAACCAAGGTACAAGGGGTGTGCAAGAGGCAGCTGGTCGATGACTCTCTCATCGATGTTTCTCTCTCTCTCCCTTCCTCTCTGTACAAAATCAATAAAATATATTTTAAAAAGAGAGAGAAAGAGAGAGAAGCAAACGCTCCAGCGCGTGAACAGCTCGCACTTCCTGTTTGTAGCCGTGAAGGACGCTGTTACCTGGCCCGCGGGCTGGGTGCTCGCTGCCGTGCAGGTCCAGCTCCTGAGCCTCAAGCTGCCGGTACTTGTTAATGTACTCCAGCTCCCCGCTCTTCCGGCCCAGAGACCTGCAAACAACACCCAAACTTAGTGCACTGTTTCCGAAAAGCCGAGGACCCACCCTGCACTGAGGAACGCTTCAACACTCATCAAGTCACAGAATAAATGAAAATGGTCAATAAACAAGAAAAGGGAGCCCTAGATGGTATGGCTCAGTGGATAGAGCATCCGCCTGCGGACCGAAGGGTCCCAGGTTTGATTCCGGTCAAGGGCATGTACCTCGGTTGCAGGCTCCACCCTGGCCCAAGGCCAGGCCCTGGTCGGGGCGCATGCAGGAGGCAACCAATCAATGTGTCTCTCTTAACCTGTTGTTTCTCTCTGTCTTCCCCTCTCTCTTCCACTCTCCCTAAAATCAATGGAAAATATCCTCAGTGAGGATTCACAACAAAAAAGTAAAAATACTCTTAAATTCGTAGTCATTTACCAAGCAGATGTGAATTAAAGTGATGTGAAACCATTTTTCATCCTTCAAATTGGCAAATGAATAAATTGTTAGATTACAGGATGGTAACCGGGTCTGACATTTCCTCTGAAGGCGGGCGCCTGCCCGTGTCCATTAGAACCCACGGCTCTGCAGCCAACACCGTCCCCTCCGCGTCTCCTGCAGAGCCCGGGGTCACCGGCTCCGGAGCAGCCTCAGAGCCAGAGGCGCGGCGGCGGCAGCACGCTGGCCGCCCGGAGCGTCCTCCCAGGGCAGACGGCCAGACCGCAGGACCGCACCTGACAGGCAGGCTGGGCTCCAGGAGGCGGCGCCTCTCACCATACCTGTGGGAGTTAGAAGCAGGGGAGGCCCAGCAGAGGGGCACGCTAACCTGTGGCATACTCTTTCTCTTGCCTAACCTGTGTCATTTTTTTAAAGAACGCCATCCGAGGCCATACGCAAACCAAGAGACACAATGTCCCCAACAGCCCTGGCGGTGTGGCTCAGCTGGCTGAGCAGCGTCCTGTGCACCAAAAGGCTGCCGGTTCGATTCCTGGTCAGGAAATGTGCCTGGGCGTACAGGAGACAGCCAATCAGTGTTTCCCTCTCCCCTCCCCTCCCCTCTCTCTCAAATCAGCTTTTGTTTTGTTTTTTTAATGTCCCGATCTTTCAGTGAGAAAAGATACCTGCACTGTGACAGCCCTCCTCACTTTTCTTCCAATCTTTGCCTAAATGCTCCTTGTCCTGTCAACATGGCCCCACATAGCAAATGCCCGCGGCACCGCCCGGGGTTTCTGGGGGACGGTCTACCCGGGATGCCGCCGGAAGGCCGGCGATGCCAACACGGAGGTCTGAAGTCATTAATACGATGGGTTCACATTAAAGGCCCTCGGGTCTGATATCCCAGCCTGTCAGCACTCTTCTGGTCACCAGTTCCCTGACATCTACTCCTTGGTTCCCTCAGCAAAGCAGCTGCTCAGGCCTAGAGGCTGCAGTCAGCTGGGGAGTGGAGGGCAATGGGGAGTGGAGGGCAGTGGGGAGTGAAGGGCAGCAGGGAGTGAAGGGCAGCAGGGAGGGGAGAGGAGCGGGGAGGGCGTCGGGGATGGGAGGGGAGGGCAGCAGGGAGGAGAGGGCAGTGGGGGGTGGAGGACAGTGGGGAGAGTGCCCGCTGCGACAGGTTCCCAGGGAAAATGCAGCAGAGGAGAGGGGCAAGGAGAGGGGCCATGTTGACAGGACAAGGAGCATTTAGGCAAAGATGGGAAGAAGGTGAGGGCTGTGCAGGTCTGCACGCAGACACAGCGAAGGCGGCTCAGAGGGCGGCGAGGGGCAGGCCTGGCTGGGACAAAGTGTGCTCTGGGCAGAGCCAGGGGGGCAGGGTAGAGGGGAGCGGGAACCTTGCAGAGCCCCGAGCAGAAACCCTGTGCTCCAGGTGGCCTGCACCAGGTCCGAGGCAGCACGAATCACAGCAATCAGAGGCGGTCACCCAGGCAGCAGCGGCAGGAGGCCGCAGGCAGCTGGCAGGGGACTGTCCTGAGCGCCAACTACCACGGTACACTGAAACCTCCTGGCTGCAGCTGACGGCGCCGTCTGCCCTGTGAGCAGCTGGCGCTGCAGACGCCACACATAACCTCTCTCATCACGACATGCAGGCCTAATGTGAACCATGTCCCTTCTTCATGGTTCATTTGGAGGAAAAGGCCAGAGAAATACTGTTAAACTAGAGGCCTGTTGCATGAAGATTCCTGCGACAGGCCTTCCTTCCCTGGCTGCCGGCACCGTTTTCCTCCGGCACCCAGGACCCAGGCCTTTGCCGAGCCTCTTCAGTCTTCAGTCCTCGTAGGTCTTCAGTCTTTGCACTGTGCTTTCGTATGCAAATTAGCCTGCCATCTTTGTTGGGTTGGTTTGCACACTCATTCCTGTTTGGCTAATGGTCCTTGCAGAGGTATGGTCAATTTCCATATTTCTCTTTGATTATTGTAGATGTCATCTAAGGCAAAGCGACCGTGCTGCCATCGAACACAGGCCCTGCCTGCTCTTCAGCCAGACCCGCCTGCACTGCTGGCAGCAGTGACACCCTGGTCCTCAGCACCCACCCGACAGGAGGTGGTCGCCACAGTGAGTCACATGTCCGCACGGCTCCATTTCCCCGGGCCGCACCACGTTTTCAGAGATCACGGTGCATGTGGCAGCCACCTGCCTGTGCCTGCGGGCAGGCATCCTGTGGCTGTGGCCCGCTTGCACACACTGCTGCTCAGACAGAAAACGAGGGGCGTCCGGCTCCTCCGCAGCTCACCGACCCAGCGGCGCTGCCTCCCCCTCTCTTGGTGATGGGGCTTGCTCAGAACATGTGCTTTGCCAATAGCCAAGCCTGGTCCACTCTCCTGCTGTCCCTCAGAGGACGGGGACCCGGCTCCAACGGCCTGGGAGCACAGCTCAAGAGTCAAAGCAACAAGGTTATTTTTGGAGCTCCCGAGGCACCAATGACACTCCCTGTGGCCGCAGCCGCAGCTGCAGCAGGCGGCCCGCGTCCTGGGGGCACATCTGTGCACGGCTCGCCCGGCGTCCTCCCCCCCACCCCCCGCGTCTGAGCGCGTCCATCGCATCGAGGGCAGCCCTGGGCCGCGGGCGTCTGTGCAGCCGAGGAGCCAGTCACAGGCTGACCTGTAAGCGGCGGCCGCGGTTGTAAGCTATTTCGGTCGTTTCCTCCGCTCTTACAAGGTGAATTAACGAGCCGTCTCCACAGGAAGACTTCACAACCTCGTTCCCAACATAGCAAGCTATTTATTCAGGCGCAGCCCGGCGGGAGCGAGCGGGAGCAGCCTCGCAGGCGCGGCGGGAGCAGCAGAGCGCCCGGCCGGCATCCCCACCGCGGACCCAGCCTCCAGGTACGCTCTCCCGTGTCCGTCCGCGCCCGTGTCCAGCACGTCTCTGGACGGCGCTTGGCTGTGCCATTTAAAGTGTCCTCAGAACTTGTAGAGCAAGCGTTCGTGTGGCTCTCAGAACAGGCTCAGTCTGCAGGTTATCTCTGACTCTGTGTTTCCTCTCGGCTTAGCTACACAGCATGGTTAACGCGTGGTGGGGCACGATCGCCCTAGTTAGGGATTAAGACTCCGTCCATGTTCCGACCTTCCTTTGACCTGTGTATCTGCCCAGAGAAATGCGCTTCCTTTTCTGGAAAAGGCATTATGCAGAGACAAACCTTTGCTGCCAGACCTGACACTGAATACACGCGGACCCTCCCGCAGGCCGGATGCCCCTCTTCGGCTGGATGAAGTGGCCCCGGCACAGCCCCCGCCGCGCGGCGCGGGGCTCGGAGGCCGTGGCCAGGACGCTGCTGCGGGAGCTGCAGTGGCACCTGCAGGAGCGGGAGCGGCTGGCACAGGAGGTGGACCACGGGCACCACGGGGCTGGCGCGGGGGTGGACGACCCCTGGCTGAGGACCCACCTGAACCCCCACACCGCCATCCCCGCTACTGAGCAAAGGCGGCTGGAAGCGCTCTGCTCGCGAGTGCAGCCCTGCCAGGCGGGAGCCGTTCTCAGCAGGTAACAGTCCCCTCGCTGCGATGGCTGCTGTGGGTCTGAGCGCTCACGCACCCGGACAGCGAAGTGCACGCCGTCAGCAAGTTTTTTACCGGTGCATCCAATGCCCAGCCACCGGGCGCCTAGTGAGCAATGTCTGCTGCAGTCTTCCTGGCCAGAAACACTTTAAGTCACCCCGAAATCTCTTTACTAGGCGCATAAACCAAGCTGCATGCAGACCCTCCCAGGTGGCACCGCCACATGGCCACAGGCCGTGCTGCCCGTGGAGGACAGGGGTGGCACCACCACACGGCCACGGGACGTGCTGCCCATGGGAGACAGGGGTGGCACTGCCACACGGCCACGGGCCGTGCTGCCCGTGGGGGACAGGGGTGGCACCACCACACGGCCACGGGCCGTGCTGCCCGTGGGGGACAGGGGTGGCACCGCCACACGGCCACGGGCCGTGCTGCCCGTGGGGGACAGGGGTGGCTCTGCCTCACGGCCACGGGCCGTGCTGCCGTGGGGGACAGGGGTGGCACCACCACACGGCCACGGGCCGTGCTGCCCGTGGGGGACAGGGGTGGCACCGCCACACGGCCACGGGCCGTGCTGCCCGTGGGGGACAGGGGTGGCTCTGCCTCACGGCCACGGCCGTGCTGCCGTGGGGGACAGGTGGCAGAGGCACTGTCTGACCACGGCCTCTCCCTCCCCCTCAGGTTCAGAGACGTCCTGGCCGAAAACGATGTGCTGCCGTGGGAAATCGTCTACATCTTCAAGCAAGTCCTGGAGGACGCCCTGGGGGGCGCTGGGCGAGGCGGGCAGCCGGGCCTGACGGCGGGGGGTGCCGGGAGCCCCACGCTCCCTGCGTGCCCGGGGGGCAGCGCCCGGAGCTCAGACCAGGACGAGATCCCCACTGTGTCCAGTTACGTGGAGCGGCACGCGCAAAGCAGGCTCCCCACGCCCTCGCGCAGGACGTGGGACCTGCCGTTCCACCCCCCGCCACGCTAGGCTGCTGGCCGCGGCACGCAGGACCGTGGCGTCCGAGCCTAACGTTCAGAAGGCGGCGTGACCCCCTCCGTTCTCTCTGCTGTGAGCTCAGAGTTAAGACCCATGAGGGCGTGTCCTGTTTAGCGTGTTCCCTTTGAACCTCTCCAGCAGTGCGATGTTTCTTTACTAAAATCTTTCCTAAATATTTTGAAAAGAACATGTGAAGTATTTTCTTATACCTCACAGCCTCTCACAGGAAGAGAGGCATTTGTGCAGTAAAAGATTGGACAGATTCTGTGTGACACTCGGACAGCAACCTGCACTTTGATGCTAAGAGGAAGCTACACACAGAACAAGCGAGTGGCGTCAACCCTCTCTCCTGCTTCCGTGTGGCCAGGGCGTTCTCTCAGAGGAAGACCCGGGGGCAGGAGTGAGGGCAGCGTAAAGGCAGCATGAAGACAGGGCTTCATCCCGACACTTCATTTTTAATCTCAGCTAAATTAAGGGGAAGTATAAAAACACAGCTGTGTCAGGTCAGAAAAAAGAGACGGCCTGCTGTACCATTAGTAGCTGCTATTCTCAGAAAACAATGCTGACGTATACTTTACACCGATATTATGTTCACTTTAAATACCAGCATACTTAATACCTAAATTAAACATTTCATAACTTCATTAAAGTAGAAAATTACTTATTAGTCATATTTATCTTTATGATCAAACTAGAGGCCCAGTGCATGAAGATTCGTTCACTGGAGGGATCCCTCAGCCTGGCCTGCCCCTCTCACAGTCTGGGAGCCCTTAGGAGCCATCAGGGGAAGCAGACGCCCCATCACACCTCTGCTGCTGCCACTGCCGGCAGCACAAGCACTGGCCCGCCCCGGTTACAGGCAGCCCTCGGTGGCTGGGGAGCTAAGGATCTGGGTGCTGCCATGTTGTGTTTGTGGGCACCACCATCTTCGAGGACATGGCAGTCAATTAGCATAGTCCCTCCTTATTGGATGTGGGCACCGCCATCTTTGCAGAGGCATGAGGGTCAATTAGCATATTCCCTCATTAGGTAGGATGCTAGACTTTATCATTCTCTTTTGTTTTTTAATCCTCACCTGAGGATAGAAATGCATTTCAGAGAGAGAGTGGGGGAGGAGACAGAAAGAAACATCAACGTGAGAAAGACCCATCAGCTGGTTGCCTTCCACAAAGGAGGTACATGTCCTTGACCAGAATCGAACCCAGGACCCTCCCGTCGGTAGGCGGATGCACTGAGCCAAACCAACTTGGGCTAGACTTTACCATTCTTAAAGGTAATTCCAGGGAACCTAATGTCTACAGTTTTATAGATTTGTGGGGGGTTATTTTCCATCTAAAAAGAAAGAAAAAAGGAACGGAACTAAACCTCCCGCCAAAGCGCCCGCCTGGCCCTCCTCCCTGCACCTCGGGAGCCTCCCTTGGCCTCCGCTCCAGCCGTGCCATGACCAGGGTGCAGGCGACCAGGGCTCACGGGACAGGCCCCAGTGAGCCGCGGAGGGCCTGCCATCACAGCTCTGTGCCGCCTCCGTTTGCAGGGGGCACGGCATGGGCTCTCGCCTGGCGGGGACTTCTCGCGGGAACTCAGCGCTCGAGGTCAGTCCCACGTGCACAGCTGCTGACCGGCACCCATCCATGCGTGCCAGGCCCTGAGCCAGCTCCACGACTCATCGCCTATGGCTGCCATGACGACGACGCCTGCCCGGCTTGGCACCGCTTGGCAGGCACCGCGTTTCAGAAGGGAGGCTGAGGCCTCGCCGCGGGGGTTGTCTATGAGGCCGTTGGTCCCCAGGCTCAGGGGAGGGTCAGCGTTTTAGCTAAGGCGTGTCCAGAGATTTCAACGTGACATACAGCCTACTCAGCAGGCTATGGCGTGGTGTACGCATAGCTCTATGTGCACTGGGAGCCCCAAAAGTTCATGTGTCCCCGTTTACCGTGAGCTCGCTTCACTGTGCTGGTCTGGGAGCGACCTGCAGTGTCTCCAAGGTGTGCCTGCGCCACAAGCCCTGCCCCCCGCGGGTTCTGTAAGCCGGAAATCCAGGAAACCCCGCAGGCCCTGCTTAGGGTCCCACAGGCCAGCACCGGGGTGCTCCCAGGCTGCGACCCCCACTGGGACCTCATTCAGGCTGCGGCAAACTCCATGCCCTGAGGTTGTAGGTCTGAGGCCCGCTTCCCTGCTCGGAGCATCAGCGGGGACCGGCCTGGCCCCGCCACGCCCACATGCTTCCCCGAGGCCCCCTCTACTCACCCCCAGGGCTTCCCTCTCCTGCCGGAACCCGGCTCGTCAGAGGCCTCTGCCCTGAAGGTGCTTGTGATTAGATAACCAGGTTGGCTCCGTTTTAGGGTCTGAACCCTCTATTCCGTCTGCCAAGTCCCTTTGCCACACAGGCACAGGCCCGGGGGCAGCTCCGGGGCCACCTACCTCCCAGGACTTCCTGCTGGAAGCTGAGCAACAAGCCACCTCACCACCAACCTCTTCCCTCATCTACAGTCAGACGCCACCACCCCTGGAGCTGTCCGGAGGGCTAACACGGCTCCCCGGTGCTGCCCTGTGCCCGCCACACGAGGGCGGAGCCCTGGCAGGAGATGGCAGGGTGCAGCCCCGGACACTCAGGAGGAGAATGGAGACGGCCGGATGTTGACACTGTTGTCCTGCACCCATCACTCCCGAGGCTGACGCTCTCCTGGCAAGTTCACAGCGATTTTACACACACTGATTGTAATAATTTTTAGAATGGGGCTCATTTTTGTCTTTTCATTTATTTTACATGAGTCTCAGTCCAGCCAAAACCGGTTTGGCTCAGTGGATAGAGCGTTGGCCTGCAGACTGAAAGGTCCTGGGTTCGATTCCGGTCAAGGGCACGTACCTTGGTTGCGGGCACATCCCCAATGGGGAGTGTGCAAGAGGCAGCTGGTCAATGTTTCTCTCTCATTGACGTTTCTAACTCTCTATCCCCCTCAATTCCTCTCTGTGTAAAATCTTTAAAATATATTTAAAAAAAAAAAAGAGTCAGTCCATAAAGATTGGAAATTTAAAAAACTAGTCCTTACTTATAAGAACACTTAATACATACTATCATTTTTGACAAGGTTAATATTAATTTACTTCCAATCTCACACCACAATGAGTTACTTAAAGCAATGTTGTTCTGTCCTCCGAGTCTAGGGGGGGGGGGGTCAGTGAGGAGGGCAGCCCATGGGGTTACTCCGCAGAGTCATCCTAGAGAACAAAGTGCACAAACACATGAGCAGCCGCCCAACGTGCACAGGGCCTCTCTGTCCCCTCCCCGCCTCCAGAAAACAAATCCACCCAAGGCCCCAGAGCCCCTGAGCCTGCAAAGGCTGGAACCACCATGAGCCCTGACCCACTGGATCGGGCAGAGCAACAGACAAGGTCAACTTAACAAATTAAACCACCACCACCCTGCGGGCTGTCCCATAAAGGGTGCTGAGCTCCAGGGAGGGCAGGCGGGGACGCAGACACCCAGAGCTGGAGGTGCCTGCTCAGGGCCTTCAGAGAGGGCAGGTGTTTCTCCTAAAAACAGCAGGCATCCTCCCGCCCCCAGAGTCACAGGCGGCAGCTGTGTAAGTCAGACCACAGTGGGAGGCAGAGCAGAGCGCCCATAAACCTGACCAAAGCTCCCGCTCCCACGCTCCGGGGTGGCTACCCGGTTGCGTTGAAAACCTCTGACCCCACAAAAACCTGGACCTGGGGCCTGGGCGCTCACAGCAGCTTTATTTGTAATTGCCAAACGTGCTCTTCAGTAGGTGGTACCCAGACGTGCCAAGCACTCAGGAAGAATGAGCTCTCGGGCCATGAAAAGGCCTGGAGGAACCTTAATGGCATCTGGCTAAGAGAAAAAAGCCCATCTGAACAGGCTACATACTTGTGATTCCAACCATAGAACATTCCGGAACATGCAAAACAATAGAGATATTAAAAAGACCAGTGGTTGCCGGACGGGGATGAACAGGAGGAGCAGAGCAATGTTCAGGGCAGTGAAACTGCTCTGTATGATACCAGTGGTGGATACATGTCCTTGTACATTTGCCCAAACCCACAGACTGCGCCAGAGTGGGCCCCTTTCTTATCTATGATGGATCCACACCGCTTCTTCATCCGTTGCAACAAATGTAGCACATTAGAGCGAAATGTTAATAGGGCAATGCTGGAGGGGTTGGGGGGGAGGGGGTCCACGGCCCTCTGCACTCAATTTTTATGTAAAATTCAACTGCTCTGAAAAAGTCGTCCAGCCCAGCCGCATCGCATGGCTCAGTGACTGAGCATCGACCCATGAACCAGGAGGTCACAGGGACATGGCACATGCCCTGGTTTCCGACTCCATCCCCAGCGAGGGGCGTGCAGGAGGCAGCCCACCCATGATTCTCTCTCATCATTGATATTTCGATCTCTCCCTCCCTCTTCCTTCCTCTCTAAAAGCAATTAAATAAATAAGTAAAATGTCCTATTAATAAAGAACTAGAACTCCGCACCTTGGGGGAAGGTGAGCCGGTGTGCATGGCGGGACGGGGTTTGTCTGTGGCCAGCTCGCTTTGGGACGGCCTGGCATCGCCCAGGCAGCGGGGACCAGGGACGTGCCAATGGGGCCCAAGTCCTCGCTGTCCTGGCCCCGCACCCACCCGCAGCCCAGCCGGCGCCTACCTCCTGGATGCCGCCTGATGCGCCTGCGCAGGTGTCTGCGCCCGGGCCTGGGCCTCAGCCCGGGCCTCAACAGGGCAGGCACCAGGGGCTCCGTCCCTGCGCTGGGCCTCCTCTCTGGCCGCCTCGGCCGGGAAGGCGGGCGGCGAGCCCAGCAGCTCCACATCGGTCACGGTCTTGCCGATGGTGAACCAGTCGTTGATCTGGTCGACGGTGAGCTTACGCAGCATGGTCGCAGCCTGGCCTCGGCGCCGCCTCAACCGCCTGAGGACTACGTGGGAAGAACGTGGCTCAGCGACGTGCCCAAAGCCCCGCCCTGATCCCCGCCCTGCTCCAGGCCCTCCAATCAGAATGTCTCCCAGGTCCCTGCCCTGCTCCAGGCTCTCCAATCAGAGTTTGCCCTAAGGCCAGGTCCTCCAATCAGAGTGTGCCCCCAAGGCCCCGCCCTGCTTCCGGCCCTCCAATCAGAGTGTGCCCTAAGGGCTCGCCCTGTTCCCTGCCCTCCAATCAGAGTGCACCTGCGCCCTCGTGCCCAGGCCTCGTGCCTGCCAACCCACGCCCTGCCACGCTAGGCCTGCTGGGAGCGTGGCTCGTCCCACCCCCACCCAGGGACCTGCGCTTTCAAAGCCCTCGGGCCGCCCGCGCCGCCGCCCCCGCCCCCGCGCTGACCGGAGCCTGCGTGGTGTGGCCCCAGGGCCTCAGCCCTCTGGGCGGCGCAAGGCATCAATGGGCCGGGATGGGCCTCGCGCCTCCGCCCTCTCCCCCTGAGGGTCTCTGAGGGGGGGAAGGCTTCCGCCGGGCCCGTTCAGGGCCGCTGGGCTGGGGCTCCGGTGGAAGCAAGCCTGGACAGGGAAAGGTGGCTGCCTTGCCGAGTCACACCTGGCGGGAGACAGGGGCACCTGCCCCTGATCTGGGGGCAGGAGCAGGGAGAAGGCCACGGGAGGCTGTTAGGAATGACCCAAGCAGGACCCCTACAGAACCACCGGGCACCGCGGGCGGAAGAGGACTCGGGTCCCAGCGGAAGGGCGCCGGTGGGCGGAGGCCCGCCCGAGGCAGGCAGCCCTCCCTCCTGGCGGAGTGGCGGGCCCAGAAGAAGTTGCGTGGGGCCGAAATACAAGCAAACGGAAGTCATCTTCCTCCTCTTCCACCTGCATCTCCGCGGCACTGGCCGCCATCGGGACAGGGGGCGAGGGGCGCAGGGGTGGGGGCCTCGGCGAGTGGATGGTGCTGAGCGCCCCAGAGCTGCTGACCTGGGGCCGGCCGAGCGCCAGACGAGTGGAGGAAGGTGGAGGACGGACCCTGGGAAACAGCCCGAAGGAAGAGGCAGAGGGATCCAGAGGAGGGAAGGCGACTCGGAGACTCGGAAGCCTGCCGTGACCGCCTGCCACCATCAGAGTCAGTGCCCGGCGCAGGGTCTGGGCATCAAGAGCATGGCGCTGACCAACAGCATCAAGTCCACTCAGTTAAGGACTGGAATATGCCCCCCAAAATGCCCAGTAAGAGGTCAGCCTGAGAAAGCGCAGCAGACGCCAGCGGGCTTGTCCTGTTGGTGCCCAGCATGGCACTGTTACTAGGCAGGGGACCTGTCCCTGAGCCCTGGGCGGTCTGCCTCCCGCCGATAGGCGTGTGTGGGTTCTTGACCTGGTGCGGGAGGAACTTCACAACAGAGTCCGGTGACTATGAGGGTGTGTTTATTCACACCGAGGACAGGGAAACCAGGGAGGGCTTCGCATAGAAGCAGCCACAGGAGGGCCCAAGCTGGGCTGCGCTGCCACTGGGAGGTGCAATGAGGGGCCTGGGAGACAGGGTCAGGGGGTGGCCCGGGTGAGCTGTCACTGCCCTTCCCTCCCCCCCCCCCCCCCCGTGGCTAATCTCGTGGGGTCCCTTCGCGTTTAGGATGTGCACGCCTGTGAGAGGGGAGGGGGAAGGAATGGTGCCGTGTGCTCCCAGCAGGAGAGCTTGCTCTGGGCCCTCTCTCTTGCAGGCCGGGATTGTCAGGGCAGTCGGGGGAATTTAGCAAACTGTTCCCTGTTTTCCAGGTGTGCTCTTGTGGGGTGGTGGTCTCCCTCGGTTGGCCAGTGCCAGAGCAGGTAGCACATTGCTCACTGCAGCTGGTCCTGAGATCACCCACTTGGTTCTGCTGCTGTTCTGGGCCTGGAGCTGAAATACTGCGGCCTCGATGTCCTCCCTCGGGAGGCGACCTTCTGTACCGGCTATGAATTACTCGGCCCGTTTGTTCAATGCTCTCACCTTCCCCATTCTGCTCGCCAAGGAGTTTTCTAGCTTTCTAGCTTCTTTTAATTTAATTTTTTATTTTATTGATTTTTTTTTTTTTACAGAAAGGATGGGAGAGTTAGAAACATCGATGAGAGAGAAACATTGACCAGCTGCCTCCTGCACACTCCCTACTGGGGATGTGCCCGCAACCAAAGTACATGCCTTTGACCGGAATCGAACCTGGGACCCTTGAGTTTGCAGGCTGACGCTCTATCCACTGAGCCAAACCAGTTCGGGCTCTAGCTTCTTATCCTGATCAGCACAGAACTGGCTCTCTCATCGACGGTTCTAGCTCTCTATCTCTCTCCTTTTCTCTCTCTGTTAAAAATCAATAAAATATATTAAAAAAAAAGAACTGGCAATCCCAGCCCAAATCCTGGCCACCCCACTAACTTATAGTATGAGCTCCAGACCTTGAGTTCTGACTGTGCCCAATACTGCAGCCTCCAGAACGGGCCCCTGCCTGGCAAGCTTGTTGGCTGAGGACAGGAAACCTCATAGGCCGACGGGCGACCTGCGGGCCTTGCAGGTTTCGCATATTTGCGTTCCCAGCCGGCGCTGCTCACCCGAAGGGAGAACAGCTGACAGCAATTACAACGCCGCTGATGCAGGAAGCCGCCCTCTCCCACAAGCAGCAAAGCCAAGGTCAACGTGCCTTCCTGTCTTTGCTGACCTCCTCAGCCACGAAACGCAGCCTCTGTACTTAGCAAATCTGCTGGGGCGGCCTGTTCTTCGAACATTGTTTCTTTGAAGATGTGTTGGGTTTGCAACTAAAGACGATAAAGTCTGTTGATCTCAAGTCACATTTGAAGTTCAAAAGCTTTCTCTTGAAATAGCTCACAGTGATGCTCTCCAGTTTCCCCTAAACGTTGCCCTCGGCAGTTTTCTAACCCATTATGGTCTACAACACTGTTTCTAAGAGAGTGCTTCTCAGACCTGGCCCTGGTCTCAGGACACCTCTTAACAATAACTGGCCCTGCCCTGGCCGGTGAGGCGCGGTTGGAGAGTCGTCCCATGCACCGAAAAGCTGCAGGTTCGATTCCCAGTCAGGACACAGGCCTGAGTTGCAGTTGGGGCAGGTATGGGAGGCAACAAACGGATCAATGTTTCTCTCTCACATGGATGTTTCTCTATCTCCCCCTCCCTCTTTCCTTCCCTCCCTCCTCTGTCTTTCTCCCTTTTCCTTTCTCTCCAAAATCAGGAAAACATATCCTCAGGTGAGAATAAAAAATAAAAATAACTGGCCCTGGCGGGTGTGGCTCGGTTGGTTGGAGCATCATCCCACACATCAAAAGGTGAAGGGTTTGCCCTGGCCAGTTTGGCTCAGTGGATAGAGCGTCGGCCTGCGGACTGAAGGTCCCAGGTTCGATTCTGGCCAAGAGCACACGCCTGGGTTGTGGGCTTGATCCCCAATAGGAGGCGTGCAGGAGGCAGCTGATCAATGATTCTCTCTCACTGATGTTTCTATCTCTATCCCTCTCCCTTCCTCTCTGAAATCAATGAAAAAATATATATATTTTTTTAAGTGAAGGGTTCAATTCCCAGTCAGGGCATATACTCAGGTTTCGGGTCCAGTCCTGTCCGGGTGCATGCAGGAAGCAACTGATGGGTCCATTTTTTTCTCTCTCTCCCCCTTCCTCTCTCTAAGATCAAGAAATAAAAGCTTACAAAAAATAAAGCCATGTGATGTTAAGTATCTTTTTTAGGAAAAGTAAAATATGATTTTTCCAGTGTGAGAAGAGTGACACTTCTCCATTGTCAGTGACCGCTTAATGTGGCCTTGACAGCTGGGCTCTTACCGATGTCATTCTCTTGTGACATCACAAGTCACGCAGCCTCTGGGAGACTCAGCATGCCCCTGTGAGAGAATGCTACTGAAAAAGAACATCCGCACCTTCCCATTGTGATGCAGACAGATTTGACCATCCCCCCCCCACACACACACACAGGAGCTTGGAAACCCCCAAACCGTACTGAGAACCATGCCCTAAAACGCTGGCCTTTAGGCTTAGCTCGAAGCTTCCTGCGATTCTAAGCCGTCTTCTCCGGAAGCAGGACCCCGCCCCCCCGCCTCCCTATCTTTCTGTTGGGCTCATTTCCTTCTGCCTGAATAATGAACTGCTGACTTTTTTTTTTCTTTTCTTTTCTTTTCTTTTTAATGCGGATTTACTAGTGATTATTCCCTGTTTTCTTGGTTTGTCTGAAATATCACCTTATTCACCAAAGGTTAATTTCCTTACACACTGAGTTCTAGGCTGGCAGTTATTGTTAGGTTCCTATGGTTTTGTTTCCAGGTTTCAAGGATCCATTTATGTTCATGCATCTGCCTGCTTGGTTTCCACAAGGCCTTTTGAATTTATGGTGTGACTTTTATTTCATCGCTTCTGGAAATTTCTCAGCCACCTATTTGCTAATGTTTCTGCCCCCTCTCTCATCCTTTAAGACTCTTAAGTACACATCTGATGGCCTCCCTTGCTGTACCCCCTCTCTGAACTGTTGCCGCTACGTTTCTGAATGGTTTCCTCTATCTTCCAATGCAGTTAAGTCTTCAACTCTCTCAGCTGCTAAACGCATCCAATTTCTCTTTGGCTCTTTTTCAAATCCAGAAAGTGGTTTTCTTTTTGTTTCACTTGCTACAATTTTCTGCTGAGATTTCCAGCCTCGGTTTGATCTCCTTGCCCAGGGAGGGGGCGCTTTTGAAAGGCTGTGTCTGTAGGTTCAGTGTCTGGGGCCCTGGCTCTCGCCGTAGGGTTTCTATGCACAGAACAGATGCATAAGTGCACGCGGGGCAGACATGTTAACAATTCAAGAAGAAATGGCAAGAAACCCGCAGAGAAGGATAGCCGGGCCCCTTTTCAGGGTGATCAGCTCGTCCGCTCTCGCCCAGGCCCTTCCGATTTCAGCCCTGAGTCCCGCGTCGGGGACTGATCCACAGGGTTTGCCACCTTATTATCACACCCCAGCCCCGCCCCACGCGCCCCTCCCCGGCCCTCCCCGGCGCGGCCGCTGGGGGCGCTGTGGTGCGCAGGCGCCGCCTGGGACGCGCTCTGGCTCCGGGGCGCCGCTCCTTCCGCCTTCCCGGCAGGCCTTGCGCGGCGCGTGCGCGTTCAGTGACCTTCCCGAGTGGCTGGCTGTGCGGGTCGGGGCAGCCCGAGCGGTGGGTCCTGCGGCGAGGTGAGTGCGGGGGCCGCGGTCCGGTGCTTGGGGCGGGGCAGCCGCGACCTGGGGGCCGGGGCGGGGCGGCGGCGGCCGGGGCCGGTGTGCCCGCGGGAGGAGCCGGCGGTGAGCGGGACGCTCCCAGATCCCCGCCGACCTTGCGGCCCGGCCCAGCCCCTCCGTCCCCCCGCGGGGCGAGCTGGTCCGCCCGGCCCGGAGCTGGAGGCGGGGGCCGGGGGTCAGGGGGTCAGGGGTGAGGGTGCGTGGACCCCCCGCCCCTCTCCCTCTTGGGCGAGCGCCTCGGCCGCGGGGGCCAGGGATGGAGCCGGAGTCCAGGCCGAGAGCCGAACCCGCCTGTGGCGCGTCCCCCCGCACCCCTCAGCCTCCCACGCACACTGTCTCCGGGTTACACTGTGTCTGTCGTGGGGAGGGAAGCGGGGCCGAAACGGGGTTCAGGGCGACGCTTGGATTGCACGGGCCTGAGCCTGCGCGCCCGGGCCGGCCGCCACGGGCGGGAGGGGGAGGGAGTGGCTGCCAATGCGCCGCAGCCTGTGCGGGCGGGGTACGCGGACCCCCTCTGGCCTTTGGGAAGGACGGGCCTGGGAGGAAGGTGCCGTGAGGCGCGCACACGGAGCTGGGGATGCGGGCGGACAGGTGGGTCACTATTAAATGTTGAGGACGTGTCACCTGTCCAGCCAACTGTGGCAACTTTGGTTAAAAGGAAAGTTGGGGCGCCTGGCTGGTGTGGGCCCATGATTGAGCGTCAATCGGGGGGTGCAGGAGGCAGCCGATCGATAATTCTCTCTCGTCCTCTCCTCTGAAATAATGAAGACGTGTTTTGTGTTTTTTAAAGGAACGTTGGGGGGAGGTGAGTGTTGGCCTGTCCTGGTGGCAGTGATGGTGGGTGAGAAGACCATGCCGGACTCCTGAGCCCTGAGCTGAATGGCGGGGTGACGAGCGGTTCTTCGGGTCCCTCCTTCCCTGCCTCCGTGCGCCCTCCAGACCCTCCTCTGGCCTCTCGGCGGCCTGGCCCAGGGCTCTTCCCTGTCCTCTGGGTGTCCTAGCCTTCCTGCTGCTGCTCGGGGGTTCACTGGTGCTCACTCCTCACCAGGCACCCGCTGGGTTTCTTGTCTCCCTGGATTACGGGGAGCACCTGGGGGGCTCCCTGCTTCTCAGAAGGATCTCCTGAACCAGCAGCTTCGGGACTTGAACGAGATCGGGAGCAGAGCAGGCAGAGCTGGTCCAATGGAACCTGGGGTTCCATTTCTGCCCTGTGGCCCCTGGCACCTTCCTTCCCACCCAGTGTGGGTGCAGGAGGTGAAGCTGCCCTCCGGCACCTTCCAAGTCAGCTTGTTGGGTTCATGGAACCTCATTCTGACGGAGCATCTCAGTGCCGTGTGAGGACAGAACCGGTGAGGGCACAGCTCGTCCTCGGAGCGTCAAGCTAGGGGGCAGGTTTCTGTGGGAACCAGAAGCAGGGCTGGCGGAGGGCAGGCTGCTTTCTAGAGTATCACGTGTAGGGTAGGGAGTGGGGAGTGATAAAGGGTGGGGAGCACGCGGAGACACTGTTAAATGTGCATCACATCTACACTAAAGAGAAACTGCAGATTGACCACGCCTCTGTGATGCCCACCAGCCTCTTGCGAGGCGTGCGCATGCACATTAACCAAACAAAGGTGGTGGGTTACTTTGCACGCACAGGTGTGGAGCAGCTGGGGCAGGGTGGCCGCTTGCGTACGCCTGGCACCAAGCAGTCTGCATCCCGGCCGCTCTGAGCCTGTAGTCCGCGCGCAGGCCCAGAGCAGCCGGAGTTCCAGGCGACCCCAGCCACTCCGGGCCTGTGTGCACAGGAGCAGACACCAGGGCCTGCGGCGGCATCAAGTGGGCAGTCCACAGAGCAGAGAGTCACAGGGGCAGGACAGTGGACATCTCCTGAGGGCTCCCAGATTAGAGAGGGTGCAGGTCAGGCTGAGGGACCCAAACTCCCCCCCCCCCCCCCCAACAATCCTCACCCCATACCCAGCTTCCGTGCACCGGGCCCCTGGCTTTAGAGTAAAAGCTGCGCTCGGTGCTGTACCTCCCCACCGTGGTATTTGGGATAACAAGCACTCGACATAGGACACTTGACGCTGAATCCCTGGCTCAGGGTAGCTCATCTTCACACCCTTTGAGGGGGTGCTGTTCTCACCCCTGCTTTACAGGTGAGGAAACCTGGGCGGCTGACTCAGCTGGAGAAGCGCAGGGCCAGGGTTTGACCCGGACAGCACAGTGGCCTGGGGTCTCGGTGCAGACCCGGCCACCTAGTCCCTGCTCAGCCACGTTGGCTGGTGAATCGGGAGCTCCACGTGCAGGTGTCCGTGCACAGACCAGGGAGAACAGGAGGACAGTTCTGCGCAGCCAGGGGAGGGGGGAGGCAGGCGGAGGAGGGGAGGCGGCAGCGACACAAAGCAGCGTCTGAAAGTAGAATAGGAAGGACGAGGGCTGTGCTCCTGACGGTGGTTTGAGTGAGTGTAGGCATTAGACCAGCTGTTTCTGCAAAGCTCGCCTGAGGATAGGTGTTTGGTGATTTTTGCGGGGGAGAGGGGGGGAGAGAAACATCAATCCGTTACCTCCTATACATCCCCCGTTCAGAATGGACCCACAGCCCACCCCCGGAGCCGGCAGGCTGTTACCAGACTTACTGGGGTGGAAGGGGGCGGCAAAGTCAGAGTCTGCAGTAAAGCATAAACATCGTCACAGTGTCCTGTGAGACCTGCACATGGCGGTGCGCTGTGAGTGGAGGGACGGATGGCACCTCCAGCAGCTCATGAGATCAGCTGTGTGAGCTGTCTGAGCTGCCGGCTTTGTCCTTAGCAGCGGGCTTCAGACGGGCACATAGAAAACATCGCCACCCAGTCAGCACCGAGCTTGGTTGTGTTGTTGAAGTTGCTGGGAATGGAACCTAAAGGTCTCAGAAAGAAAGCTCACGCCGTGACGGGCATGTGACCGACTGCATGGGGGAGCCTCCCCCACGTGTACACTTTACACATCTGACGTTTCCTGTGTCGGTTAGGCCTCGGTGCGGCTGGAACGTGAAGCAGTGAGTTGCACTGTCGCCGTGCGCCGCCTGGTGTCATTCTCCGGGAAGTGGCCGTGCCTTGACCATGTTCTTGTCCCGCTTTGAATGCCAACAGTCCTGCCCGGCCGGCGTAGCTCAGTGGCTGAGCATCGACCTATGAACCAGGAGGTCATGGTTCAGTTCCCGGTCAGGGCACAGGCCCGGGTTGCAGGCTTGGCCTCCAGTGTGGGGCGTGCAGGAGGCAGCCGATCAATGATTTTTCTCTCATCATTGATTTCTTCTCCCTTCCTCTCAGAAATCAACATATATGTATTAATGCCAACTGCTCTTAGCGTGATGATGCACACACACCAGTTCTCAGTTTGAAGCTGTAAGGTGGTGTGTGAATTGTGGCAGGACCTTGCGCAGGGTAGCCCTTGGGGGACATTGCTGACACTGCGGGATGGCACAGGCTTGCGGAATGAGGGTGACTGGCTGAGGGATGCTCTGGCCCAGGTCAGGCGTTGGGGGGGGGGGGGCTCAGAGCCAAGAGCAGGGCCCGTGGGGGGGCGTCTGGCATCAGAGCAGATCCCTGAAGAGTCGTGGGGAGTAGGGTGGACGTCATGAACAGGTGGAATCTCCTGCCAGTTCTGTTTGAAGCCGTGGTCGTGCTCACAGGCATCCCTGCTTCCCTTCCAGATGTTCCAGAGCCTCCTCAGAAGTGTGTGGGTCCCCCTGAAGCCCTACTACACGCAGGTGTACCAGGAGATCTGGGTGGGCATGGGGCTGATGGGCCTCATCGTGTACAAGATCCGGAGTGCGGGTGAGTGTCCTCGCTGGGCTCCTGGGGGCCCGGGCAGAATCACTCCAAGGAACTCCGGCACGTTGAAGGGACTGGCTCTTACCCAACCGCTGGGCCCCATTACAATGTGGGGAGCACACGTTGGCCAAAGGGTGTTGGGGGATATTTGAATAAGGCCTGGCTACCAGGGAACTGACTTCCCAGGTGGGACCGCCGTTTGGAATGCGGGTGATAGCTCAGCTTTAGGAATGCAGACTCGGGGGGAGTCCTGTGCGCAGCTTCACGCTCCGTTTGGAATGCGGGTGATAGCTCAGCTTTAGGCATGCAGACTCGGGGGGAGTCCTGTGCGCAGTTTCACGCTCCTGTGCCGTTGGCTGAGTGTGTGAGCTGTCTCCACGCTGGCGGGGAGGCAGGGTGGCCCAGGCACGTATTGACAAGCGATTGGTTCGGAGGGAAAAGCAGGAGGGAGCTTTCCAGTTGCCAGAGGAGGACTGGGGGGGCGGGGGGGGCGAGGAGCCTGCCCCGCGGAAGCGGAAGCCATTGCCGGCCAGAGAGCGACTGTGGCAGGGCCCCCTCGGCTGCGAGGCTGTGAGGCCCAGCGCCGTCTTGAGCGCTCCCTGTCGCTCCGCCCCGTGCTGGCCCACAGGCACCGGCTCCGGCTTCTGTACAGCGCTGACCACTTTTCCTTTCTTTTCATTTCAGACAAAAGAGCTAAAGCTCTGAAAGGTAAGGTGCTTTAAGTGGGTGGGGACGACCCCATCGGAGGGGAAGGGAGTCCGGGCCTGAGGGCACGGAGTGGGGGGCTTGGGAAGGTGAAGTCTGCCTCTCGGTCTGAGGTTCAGGCGGTGCTCACGCGTGTGCAGCAGGAGGGAGCGTGGACAGGCAGGGAGCTGCCCCTGTAGGGGAGCCCCAGTTGATGGGCACCCCGCCTGGTCGGTGTGTGGGGGTAGCCCCATGAACTTAGGCCCTGGCACTAGCGGGTCTTACGTTGCTTCCCAAGTGACAGTGAAATGCTGTCATCTGAGCCCAGGGCTGCCCCGGCCCCTGGGGAGGAGACGTGGCCCGCCCTCCATCCTGGCGCCTGAGGGAGCCACGCGTGGGCCCACAGCCCTCACTCCCGGGGCGACCCGCGTAGAAACCACCTTCACACGATGGGCCATGCTGACACGGTAGCTGCACTCGGCTTGCTCTTCCTAACTGTGTCTGTTGTGCTTCTTCGAAGGTTCGAGTCCCGCGCCTGCTCATGGTCATCACTAGCAGCTGGGCGAGTGCAGCGGGGGCGTCGGCCGGCGTCCACCTCGGCTGTCAGATGGGGCACCGTGCTGTCTAGAAGTGCCGTGTCCTTGCTGGCATGAATAAACATACCTATGGACACACGCCTGCTCGCCGTCCTCCCTCCGCCTGTGGCGGCTGACCCCGCGGATCTGTGCAGCCAGGCACTCCCTGGGCCGGTCGGCCTTAGGGAGCCCCAGGAATTGGTGCAGCACCTCGGTCTCTTAGGCTGTGGGCTCAGGCCCAGGCCGCTCCCGTCTGGGCTCAGTGCCCATGAGCTCGCACATGGGGCGCCGTTGTGAGGCGGGAGGGTCTGGAGGAGCATCGTGTTCCGCTAAGCTTAGACAGAAGGTCCCGTTAGGTCACTGCGGGCGGAGTTAGAAGCTCGGATGCCATCAGAAGGCAGTCAGGGTCCTTCAGTGAGGCCAGTGCATGACCTTTTCTCCACCCAAAGCAGTGACCACAGCCCTCAGAGCCGCGGCTTTCACCTACAGCCGGAGCGGGGAGCCACAGGGAGCCCAGGTTAGGGCTGGCTGTGGAGCAAGATGACACGGTGCCTGGGCCCTGGCTGTTTACCTGCTTTTCCTCTGTCTCCAGCATGCGGCCGGGCCTGGCCAGTTGGAGCCCGACCAGTGGCTGGGCGTCCTGTGGGTTCCTGTGCCTCCGTGTCTGTCAGATCGGCCTCCGCCTCACGGCTCCAGCAGGAGTCTGCGTGAAGGCACTGGAGGCCCAGGAACATGGGGGGATCTTCTCTGTTCCCACAGGAATCGCATTTTCTCCCGAAACAGATGGGCCTCTGGGGGATGAGTTGGCGCCTGGTTCAGAAAGACTTAGGGACCTCATCTGGGCGCTGTGCTCAGACCCGCCGGTGTCAGTCACGGGGGCCAGCACTGCCGGCTGGTGGGGCCTGAGGACCCGTACACTTCCCTGGGCGTGCTGATGGGGGGCCACTTGGAAAACGGAGAGCTGATCCTGTGGAGAGCGACACCCACAGAGGCTTCTGTCCACAGCACCGCCCGCCTCATTGGTTCTAAGCCAAACAGTGGGGCTCCGGGCCACGTGCAGGGCCCAGGCTGGGCTCCCAGAGGCTGAGCCGCCCGGAAAGGGACAGGAGGCCCACGGAAGGGCCTGGAAGGCACAATGTGGTGCAGCTGGGCGCCTGCTCCCTTGTTGCCTGTGGCTCCTGCGGTGTCATCTGGGCAGGTGACAGTGTCTCCTTAAAGATGCCTGTCACCCACGTGGCCCGCACTGGACCCCACTGCAGAGCGGTGAGGACAGCCGAGATGGAGGGTGCCCTCTGGAAGCGGCTGGTGTGCTGGCTGCGGCACGGCGGTGTGTGGCAGGGCAGCTGGAGGGTGTCATAAGCAGATGCCACCCACAGGGCCAGCCTGGGAGAGGGAGTCCTCTCCCCCCTGCACAGGCTGCTTCCCAGCTCCTCTGGCTTTGGGAACAAGCCCGTCGTGGCCTGGGGTGGCCTGTAGGTGGAGCCAGTGTGTCAGGAGCCGACAGGCACAGCTTCCTGTGTGTGACAGCCCCCACATGGGGACTGCTGGGTGCTGGCACTGGGCAGAGGGCCCGCCGAGGAGCCCTGGGGGTGCTGAAGCCAGAGGGTCCCAGCCCTGCAGGAGGGAGCACTGCTTCTGGACGGCCACGCAGGCCTCTGCCCACCATCTGAGGCCCCGCCCTGCCAGGATCCCCTTTCCACAGGACAGCTCCCCACCTGCAGGAAGGAAGCAGGGGGGCGGTCAGCTCGCAGCACAGGCCCCCTTCCAGGGCGAGGTTTGCTCATCGAACCCTAGCCGAGCCAGCAACTCTTCTCAAAGTGGGGTTCCGGGCCTGCAGCAGCCGCTGTGGGCAGGGCCCGGGCCTGTGCTTCCAGGAGGTCCTGATCACACCAAGTTCAAGACCTACTTCCTGGAAGAGCTGCCTTTCCAGGAAAGCAAGCTGGGCAAAGCCGGCGGCCGCCTGCAGCCACCCTCCATGCCCCTGCAGGCGGGGCCCCTCAGAACCCGCTCTAACTGCTCCAGGAAACCATGGCTGAACTCTCACCACCCCTTCCCTCCCCTCCCGCCCGCCAGGCCCCAGGGCCCTGATTAAGGCTGGGAGCAGGCTCGGAGCCCCACCCCCACCATGCTGAGGTCAACTCCCCATCCAGCCCAGAGCCGGGCCTGGGGGCCCTGCCTCCCACCTGGTCCCTGGTCCCCACCTCCCCGGGAGACTGCCCCCTTCCTGCCCCACGGAGGTCAGATGGGTCATTAGCATGTCACGGGCACGGACCGCACACCCCATGCCCTCCCCGAGCTGTCCCTCCAGCAGGCCCCTCGCCTGAGGGCCCCTTTCTTTAGGCTGTTCCCTCCCCTCCCCTCCTGCCCAGGAACCCACCTCCGGCCAGTCCCAGGCCCCCAGCCGGACAGCCGGGTATGTGCTGACCCACCCTAGATGGGGCTGCAAAGCCACCACATCTTGTGCAAGGGACCCCGACTGCACCGCTGCCCCCCTGGTTCCCGGCTCTGCCTGCAGGCAGGTGGGAGGAGGGTGCACCCCAGTTCTGGATGATCTCAGAGTCCCCTCACATCAGCCCAGGCAGGATAGAGGGTCCCCGGGACCCCTTGGAGCCCAGAACCGGGTCTGAGATGTGGGCGCTGTCCCTCCGGGCCTCTGGCCTCCCATGCCAGCACTTCTGCCCCTGCCCCTCTGTCCTGCCCTCTCCTCCCACTGCCATGACCTTTGACCTCACTACTCTCCTCTCCTTCAGCTGTCTCCTCTGTCCCAGTGGGAATCGCTGAGGGGACATCCACAGGCCGGCTTGGACCTGCGGCTGGAGGTCATGGCCGGCCTGGGATGAGCTGCCAGGGCCAGGGTTCCGCCCGTGACCAGGGGTGTGGCCCGTGGGACTGGGAGCCGCTCTCTGTCCCCCTCGCTCTCTGCCTCCTCTCTAGGGGAGGTGGCCTGCCCCTGCAGAGCAGCCTGGGGGGCCCTGGGCCCCACCCTCCTGGGGCTCCCATCCTATCCCACTGCCCTGACCCCATCAGGGTCCCACTTCCACTGCTAGAGCCCAAGTGGGGAGGTTTTATTTAACCTTTATCGGTGTCCCATCTGGCTTGCCCGCTGGCGAGTCTGCCCCGAAACTCCAGGTCTGGGCGGCGGAGGGTGTGCTGTGAGCGGGGCCTGGAGTCCGGGGCCGGCCTGGTCCTGGGGGAGGCTTCCCCACAGCCACCCCGGACTCAGCGTCTCTCCAGGGAGCCGGGTCCGACAGGCCTCTCACCTCAGAAAGCAATGGAGCTCCGTGCCCCGCCCCCTGAGGGCTCACCCCGAAACCACCGCCCCGGGGACTGGGCTCCAGGGGGGCTGGCGGGGGCGCCTCGCTCCGGGAAATGAGTCGGAGAGCGGGTGGCCTGGATCCGGGCCCCGGGGAGTCACTTACACCCATTGCACCGGCTCCTGTCAGTGGCCGGGAAGTGTTTGTCCTCACGGTGAACAAAGCGGCCTTTGTCGCCGCCACTGAGGGCCCACCAGGCTCCGCGATAGGACCGGCCGGTGCCGTCTCGGCGCCTGCGGCTGCGGCGGCCGAGGAACCCTCCTCCCCCTGCAGCTCCCTCATCCCAGGTCAGCGAGGGGCCCTGCCTCCTCTCTAGTGGAGGTGGCCTGCCCCTGCAGAGCAGCCTGGGGGGCCCTGGGCCCCACCCTCCTGGGGCCTCACCCTGCCTCCCAGGTCTCGGAACGCTCCCCGCGGTCCCCCCAAAACCCACACGCCCTTCCCCTGGCCCCGGGCTGGGTGCCTCGGTTCAGCTCCTGGGTAGGAGCCGGGCACTTGAACACACAAACACACACACACACACACACATGCCTTCCCTGGGTTGGGCCACAGCAATCTAGGAAGGAGGACGGGCCAAGGCCACATCAGGGAGCAGGCTGAGCTAGGCCCAGGCGCAGGCCAGGGTGAGGGGGGTAGAGGGGGGGCGTGTGAGCCGCCTCTCCAGGAGTTTCCCGCTGGGAACATCAGCAGGGCCCACACCGAGCTCAACGCTCCCGCGAGGCTGCACCAGGCCCAGGACCTCCCATGGATGGCGGCTCAGGCCCAGGGCCCACTGCACCCGTGGCAGCCGCAGCCACCCCACCCGGGAGGGGTGTGTGAGGGTCCACCGTGCGGGCTGCAGAACCCAGGGCCAGGGGACGCCGCCCAGGCCCCCTCCGCCCCGCAGGAGGCTGTGGGACCCTCGGTGTCGGAGGGGAACAACCCGCTGGCACCGGGCCCTTCAGCTGGGACCTCCGAGGTAAAGGGCACAGAATGGCAGGTGGGCCTGGCCCCAGGAACCAGGCCCAGGAGGCGGTGCGGGCACTGGGCACCATGAATGCTCGCCTGGCTGCACCCTCCACCCCCAACCCCCACCCCGGCCTCTCCACCAAGCCCTGCCCATCGGGGTACAGGGCAGGCCCGGAAGGCAGGTGCCCTGAGCTTGGGGTGAGTGAGGAGGAAACGAGTGAGGAGCTGGAGGCCACTTCCCAGCCGCCTCCTCCACAGCTGCCCTGTGAGGGCCTCTGGTGCCCGCAGGTGGCACCCCTCGGCCGCCCGGAGACCTGGCCCTGACGGCGTGGCCTCGCCCTGAGCCGTCCCGGGACGGCGCCCAGCAGCGGCCACCAGTGCTGGTGGCACCGTCAGGACTGACCTCTCCCGTGGGGCGTGGGGCACAGAACCTGGCCCTGCCCTGGCCCTCGGGCAGGAGAGGGGCTCGGACCCTGTCCTGGAAGGCAGGTCCGCTTGGTCATCTCCCGCCCGGCCACCCCGGGGAGCGGGGCCTGGAGGGGGGACAGCGCGTGGCTGGACGGCTCCTGTGATTCCCGGCGTCTGGCCAGAGCACTTGGTACGGCGCCTGAGTCACAGCGAATCACGGACACCCGGAGCCCCGACTTCCCCCTCGGCCTCTGGGCTCTGGCCTCGTCCCCTCCGCCGGCCGCTTGGCACCTCACACTCCTCGGCCAGCCTC